TTGGAAGTTTCACCTTGTCCTTCACATTGTGCCCATTCTTCTCACAGCTCATTCTCTTGTTTTATCAAGTGCGAAATTGTAGTCTTTGCCAATCTGGTTATTTCCACTAACCGACACTGACTATTGTTTCGTGGTTGTTGCTTGATCTTATCCAGGAAAGCAGTTTTTTTAGCTAACGTCAAGTCCTATCATGGCATTTTGGCAGGGGAGACAAGACCCGCGCATAATTCACTGACTAAAGTGGTCTGAAGAAACCTTAGTGTTTCGGGTTCAAGATATTGAGGTCAAGAGGGAGATAAAATGCTCGCCATTCAAAGCTTTGCCACTAAAATCATCCTAAAAAGGTGATGAAATGATAGCTTTCTCGTGCAAACTTTAATCATGATTGACAGGCAGGAATTCCTTTCAGGGGGAGCCGAGCACTGTATTGTTCATTTCCTCGAAACGCGGAGGCACAGGTTAAAGAAAATGGTGCGCGTGTTCACCTCCCACCGGTTTTCCTTTTGTTTAAGGAATTCCTGACCTTTGATGAAGCATTTTCCTGGGAAGCTGCAACTACAGATCCTCCCATATGTCGCAAACTGTATATATATATATATATATATATATATATACATACATATTAGAAATACTTTTTATGGCTGCATCGGGTAGATGCGAACCAGTGAATCAAATTACTACTTTTTGTTCTGAATAAAGGTAAACAGCTATAAAATAGTTCAATGAGAACAACAGAATAGGGAAAATTCTTAATACATAAGGAATATGACAGATCACCAGAATTCACAGAACAAGGCCTAAAGCAGTAATCAGAAGAGTAGAAGCTCAATGTAGTGGCATGACTGAACTCTTCACCTTACTGACAAGCTAACTGATGGTTTCATTGCAGCCATATTTATAGCATTTCCCATGTAGTGTTGAGAAAAATTACTCCTAGATCTTGAAAAATGGCAACCAAAATTGTTGCCAAGACCAATCAGGAGAAATCTGCCTCTATCTCAGTTTCTAATTGAGTGATCGTCACAACTCAAATGTTGTTCTATTCTAATTTGCCGTATCTACAATATAATGCATAAAATCAATATTCACAATCAATTAGATATAAATTCAGCTAGAAATCATTTCACAAAATGCAGTAAATAAGCTAGAAAATTAATAAATATATAAAAATATACAATATTATAAAAATGGGGAAAAAAAAAATCAAAATGCAATCAAATAAGCGCAAGTATTTACAAAAATTTGTGACAATATATGAATTTTTCAGCATGGCTTTTTAAAATCTAAACGATGAAGCATAAGTTTTAGAGGTATCATGGGTAAAACTACATATGTTATTTTATAAGGAAAATTAGTTAAGTTCTTCAAATATTTTATCTTCGTATTTGAAGCAGTATAATCTTCCATCTTTGTTAGATATATTCAAACTGCAAGTAATGATTATACTACAAGGTCTGGCTATTAATTTCCAGGACTGATGTAACTGTAGGAAAACGAAAAGTCGGAAGATGGCGCTGATGATTGCATATTGAAGGGCAATTTCTTGCGCATATGCAGTGCAATCGGTGCCATTCTGAAGTAAATAGTTCTTGTGGAAAGGCACATTAAAACGTAGCTCTTAAATTCCTATTGTCAAAGTGAAAATGGAGCAAAGAATTAACATTAAATTTTGCTTCAAATTGGGCAAGACAGCTGCAGAAAACTACGAAATGTAAAAACAAGTTTATGACGAGGAAGTATTATTCCACTCAAGAACTTTTGAATGGTTTAAACGCTTTCGGGACAACGCGAAAGTGTCAAAGATGATCCACACACAGGTCGGCCGCAGTCGGTATGCACTCCGGAAGCAATTGAAAAGTTTGTGATATGGTGAAATGTGATCATCGATTGACTATTTGAGTACTCGGCAATGAATTCAACATGGGCAAAGAGACGGTTTGGCGAATTTTGACGCAAGGCCTAGGCAAACGCAAGATTTGTTCCAGATTCATTCCTCACCATTTAAGAGATGAAAAAAAGCAATTGAGACTGGACGCATGTGGTGAACTTATCGACAACGCTGATGCTGACCCTGCGTTCCTGGATAGGATAGTCACGGGAGATGAGTCTTGGTGTTATCAATATGACCCTAAAACCAAGCGTCAAAGCTCCGAATGGCAGTCTCCAAGTTCCCCAAGGCAGAAAAATTTCTATTTGACAAATCCAAAATCAAGTTAATGTTAATCGCTTTCTTCGATTGCGATGGACTCATTCATCATGAATTTCTTCCTCCTAACATGACTACTCGAACGGGCTGGCTGCATGGGCGTTTTCGTGGCTTTCCCCATATGTAACGTGTATACAAGCCAGTTTCCCTTAGAAAGTCCTCCCTCCCCTTAGGCAGATAGCTCTAGTGTGCTTTGCCATAATTAAATAAACCAAACGTAACTATCAGTGGACAGTTCTACACAGAAGTTCTTGACCAACTTTGAGAACGAATTCGTAGAGTGAGGCTTCATTTTCGACAAAATGGGAGTTGGCTGCTGCTACATGACAGTGCCTGCCCACACATTGTGTTACCTGTGAGGCGATTCTTAGCCCAGCATGGTGTCGTTGAAATGCAGCATCCACCATACTCTCCAGACCTAGCACCCGCAGACTTTTTCCCATTTTCTAAGTTGAAAAATTCACTGAAGGGAACAAAATTTCAGGATGTCGAAGCCATCAAGAAAACTGTAACATTACTATTAAAAAGCATTCCAAAAGAGGACTTTAAAACTTCTTTCCGAAATTTGTACAGCCGAGCACAGATGTGCATTACGGCTGATGGAGATTACTTATTAGATTCCCCATCAGCATTACGGCTGATGGGAAATCATATTAAATGGCTATGTGTTTAACCTTTTTTTTTCTGAGTTATTTCATGAGTCCTGGAAATTAATAGCCAGCATGTGTGTTGCCATTTTGTTTTACGTATGTTATAAAACAATATTTTAATATTTAATTAATTGCAAAATAACAAGCTGTACATGTTTCACTTTTTAAGTAAGGGCATTAAATAAAAAATTGAATTTCGGGATCATACAACCATATAATCGGTGCATGAATTTTGAGGTTAAAAGAATATGTCTGTACTTCAGCATTTGAAATGGTGTAAGATGGTAGTAATGAACAAGTTAGTTAATTGCATCAAAAAGGTATTGATATGTGGAGTAAATTCTACTATTTTTAAACTTCTGTAAATATTATGGTTTTGCTTTAAGTCAGAAAGTAATCAGAAACGAAATTATGAATTTAATTTCATCTATTACTTAGTAATATTCATCATAAATATGTGCTTGAGAAACAAAATTAAAAAAAAAATAACTATAGGCCCAGTAAAAATACTCTGAATTCATTTAAAGCAATGTGAAATGGTACCACCGCCCAAAAAAATCGCTTAAACTGAATAAAGCTATAGAAATTCGTATTTTAATAATGGGAACACATGTGACATTATTTTAACAAAAGTTCTTTGGATGAACACTGCATACATTGGATACCTTTAATTTAATGTAAAATTAAATATAAATTAGTTATGTTAAATTTATTAAGTAGGTTATTAGTTTAGAAATATATGCATTTTATAAATTTCCCTTAATTCTGATTTTTCAAAATGCAATCCTTTCTGCCAATTTTTATTTTTAGCTGCAAATCTTTTGTTTTGCAATTTGCTTTTCATGCTTTTTTCAAAATGAAAAATACTCCACTGTACAAAGTCAAGTCAAAATGTAGGCATTGTTTAATTTTAATTAATGTAATAAAAATCATGTAAATAATTATTGCATGTTAATTTCATCATAAAAAAATTAAAACACCCAGAAGAGCTACCTGGTTTTTTAGGTCCTGTAATATTGATCTCTCATACAAACACTGGAAACAAACTGTTATGATTTGGTCGTCTCCCAAATAACCAGGGTAATATGTCCATGCTTTACTGAAAAGAAAAGTTAATCCCAGTTGAAAATGAATAATCCATATTAGAGGGAAAACCTTTAACAGTTTATTTGTGTGCTTGCATTATTTAATTTAGAGATTAATTGTATTCGGTTTTGTAAAATAAATCACTATTCAAGAGAACTGGAAAAGTGTCACTGAGTTAAAATTTATATAAAAAAGTCAGTTTGAACTTCTTGTCTTTTGGCAGAATTTCCCTGGCCGACATCATTTTCATCATCAAACATTGAGTTTCAGGATCATTAGCTGATGAATACAATATATATATATATATAATTATGCTTAGTTCATAAGATTTTCTTACATTATATATATTTCTTCTTATGTTTCTTTATAATATATATAATACATAAGAAATTCATCAAAATATTTTTTGTAGACAACTCTTTTTATGTTGATGGTTTATGATAGTAATGATAGTTCATCATATCACAAGAAACACATTTAACTTTTTATTTAGATGGACACCCGATGAATTGGGAGTTGACTATAATGCATACAAAATATTTTTGCAAATAAAATTTCCAAGCAGCACGTTGAATAATTTAAAATTATCAACATGCTGCTTGGCTGCTGCATGCTGCAAATTATCAACATGCAACATGCTGCTGCTTATCAACATGCATTTAAAATTATCAACATGCGTCCATTAATTTAAAATTTTACGTTGATTTGTTGTGGTAATTTTTTTAGCACTTAAAATGACTCCTGTTTTTTACTTCTAAATTTTATTTTTAGTACATTCTCTAGGTTAGCAAATAGGGAAATTTGTGATATGTTCTGTAAATTTTAAAAGCATCTTAAAAGAGTTCACATCTTTAAAGATGACAACAAATTTTTGTATTTTTGCAGCTTTGTTTGCTTTGACACGTATGCTTGAGTACAGTTTTCCCTTAACATTTTCTGCCTTTAATAACAGTTTTTTGAATTTATTAACTTTATATGCATGTTATATTCTGTGCAGTAATGATGATTTTTTTTTTTTCTCTTTCCTTTTATTGAATGCTTCCTTGCTGCTCCTTTAGTTAATGACAGTATTTTCGGTAAGCATCTCAGCTGTATTTTTTCGAATATGAACTTAATTCACCTGTCATCTTATGCTTTACAACTTTTCAATTGAATGTTATTTTAAAAGATCAGTTTCAATGAAAATTTTTGTAACAAAGTGTTCACTGTTTTTCTAAATAGAATTTTTCTGTTTTTAATTCTGTTTAAATGCATTTGAAATTTGCATATTTAAAGTGCATGCTAATGTTGTATATGAATTTCTTTGCAAAACTGTCAAGAAATCTTTTTTTTTTTTTTTTTTTTTTTTTTTTTTTTTGTCATTGCTAGCTGTATAGCTGAGCATGCATATTAAAAATGCTGTGCAGAATAATTAAAAAGTAATCATCATGTCACAAATTGTTATAGCAGACAATGTAATTGGAACATATTTACCTGTGAATTTGCCAGATATCAGTCTGCAGTTTTTTTGAACTGAAGAAGTTTAAAGAATTAAAGTTTAATTTGATACATCAGAGGTAAATATGTGATAATTAAATTGTTTGCTAACATTTGGTACCAGATGATTTTGTCTATCCTGCATTTCACCATTCATATGAAATGGAAGAAGTTTTAGCTTGTTATAATAAAAATGACTGCATGGTTTTTTGACTTTAGCATGTTAATATTAACTTTTCATTTTTTATATGATAAATCCCTGTGTAGGCAGTTTACTCAAATAAATGTGTAACTTTTCATTATGTTTTATAAATTTTCATTTTCAAAGAAAGTGGGAACATGGTAAAGTATTAATATGCATGTTAAAACTTTACCACCATAATTTTTTTTTAAATATTCATGGTTGATGCATTTGAAATCTGAATATGTATTAGTTCAACTATGCCTGTTTTCTTATGAAAAAAGTGGTTAAAAATTGTATACTTTTTATAATTTCAAATTATGACTGGCAATTTGAAAGTTGATTCAGTTTTTTGTTTAAGGCTTTATCAGACATAGTTGAAATATGTGTTTGTAATGGTTTGTGTCATGGTCATATTGTTTGCTATTAGAAATATTCACATCTTTTGATTTTAGAACTACAGAGCTTTACAAACATTTTGATCTATTGTTTTCATTTCACTGTGCATTTGTAATTCATGCATATTGAGAAACATAGCCATTGCGCAGAACATCTGATCTTAAATTTATTTTTCCTCAGACAAATGGTCAATTCTGTTCTGTGGTCATTTGATAAAGCATATAATCTTTGTCTTTCAAATTCAGTCTGGCTACAAATGACTTCAAACTGAGTGATTTTGAAAGCTATAAGTGTACTTTTAAATGTGTGTGTACATTTTAGTATTGAAATCTTTATTAATAATATGCATCATTAATATAATTTAAAATGCATTAAATTTATGATCAGCAGAAAAAATTCAGCCATAAGACTTGTCCCCTCTTTTTTTGGGGGGGGGGGAATTGTCGAAGAGTAAATTGCTAAGTGTTGTTTGTCATAGGTGGTTTATATTTGGTAAACATTAAAGTATGTCTAAGAATTGAATGATCACTTTATTTAAAAAAATATTTAAAATAGCAGATAACAAAATAAGAAATATTTCATATTTTGCATCACTATTTCTTATGCTTTATGTACATATTTGCAGAAAATATCCATTCATAAATTATGCTACTGTTGTTTTAAAAATTGCTAATATATACAAGTGGTTATCAAAGTAATGAAAACACCTGTAAGTAAAAGTGACGTCTGTGTATGCGTTTCGTAAGCAATAAAATATAATTCTAGCTACCAATTTTTTTTTATTTATTTATTATTATATATATTTTTTAATATAAGAAGTATATATCATGCTTGCTTTATACGAATAGAGAATATTTGTTAAATTCATAGTAGCATGAGATAGCTTTAGTAAAGTTGTATACATCTTGGATTTTCATTAAAAGCATAAAATGTCAGACCTTGCAGAGTTTCAGAGAGGCCATATTGTAGGAGTCTGACTAGCTGGAGCAACTGTGACTGAGGTTTCTGGAGGTACAGTAGCTACAGTCATGAGAACGTACACACAATACGACAAGAGAAGCGTGGCAAAGCAAAATAGTGGATGGAAGGAGAAGCTGAGTGAAAGAGACAGATGAGTATTGAAGCGGACTATAATGTCTGAAAATGAAACAACTGCAGCCAAAGTGACTAAAGAGCTCAATCAGCACATGGATTCTCCAGTGTTAATAATTGCACTTAGGAGGAATCTCCATAAACAGAATATTTATGGCAGAGCAACAATTCCCAAGCCACTTGTCGCACATGTTAATGCCAAACGCTGTCTACAGTGGTGCCACAACCACAAAACCTGGTCGATTGATAAGTGGAAGACTGTTATATGGTCTGATGTATCATCTTTCACCCTTTTCCCTATAACAGAATGGGTGCACGTGTGGAGGACACCTGCAGAAGTGTATGATTATGATTGTCTCTTTTTAACCATCAAGCATGCAGATGGATCCGTCATGGTATGGGCAGTCCTGTCATAGTTTTTTCCTGGCCCAATCGTAACCCTGCAAGGAAGGATCACTGGGAAGAAGTATAGAGAAGTTTTAGCTGACCAGGTCATCCTGTGAAGCAACAAGAGATGGAATTTTCCAGGATTATAATGCTCCTATTCATGCAGAGAGACTTGTCCAATCATGGTTTGATCAACATGAGGATAAAGGGAAACATCTACCTCGGCCCGCAAGTCCCTCCGAACTCAATATAATGGAACTGTTATTGTCTGTTTTAGAGCATTTAATCAGGATTCGATATACTCCAGCATCTCTCCCAGAACGTTCATAGTATCTCCTTGAAGAATCGTACAATATTCCTCTGCACACCATTCAGCATTTGTATAATTTGATTCCCATGCGAATCCAAACTATATTACATGCCGAAGGTGGTCCTACACCTTATTAAAAAAAAGGCTTCCATATAAATCTAGTGTTTCCATTATTTTGATAACCATCTGTATATGGTAATTTATATCATCCCTAAGTTACAAGTGTTAATATATATGAACATATACTTTTATACATTTGGATGATTTAAATTTAGCTTAACTTTGTATTGTTGTTCTTTGTGAAAGGGTAAAAGGTTTAATGACATAGTATTATTTAATTTTATTTATGTTTGATCCTTTCATAATGAGATTAAGTGGTAAGGAAGACAGATATTCTTTTTAAGGAAGGATTATTGTTGTGGCATACAAATATTTCTTTTCATAACTCTGAATTTCCAAGCATATTTTAAGAATGCTTGAAAAATTTTTATATTAACAAATTTCAAGGAAGATAAGGAAAATTATTTTTATATTAAATGTGTTTATAAATATGGAATTTATTTGAGAATCTCTTGCAAATAAATCTTTTAATCGAAAGATAAACAACTTTCATGAAGACTACAATTTTTGACATTAGAAGAATTTTTCAGTTTTTAAGCATAATATTTTATCTGATTTTTCTGAACTCTGTGTCTAGTATAAATTGTTAGACCTTTTTTAAATGAATGGGAGAATTCTATGAAAAACTTCGTTAAGTGGGGATTATATTAAATTACAGTTTTGGTAAAAATTTGGGCCCTAACTGTATCATCTACAATCCTGGATGTGGATATTTGTTTTAATATAAATCAAATTTTAATGCAGAAAATGCATATATACATATGGTTGTTCATTACAACAGAATTCATGATAATTTTATCTAGGTTGTTTATTTGAAATAGATTTTACTGCTATAATATATTTTGAATTTTCCTAAATTGCAAAAAAATTCTTCTAGAGTATTGTCTTCAAAGTGGAGATTCTGTTACATTGTAGTAAATAAACTTATCATTTCATCTCTCGAAGGCATTGCAGATATAATCCTCATCCTCTATTGTTTTGCTGTGATTTTTAATAACAGCTGAACAACCACTTTTTTAGTTCTCAGTATCATTATCTAAAAATAAAAATAAATCCTTTTCTTAAAAAAATGATATTGAATTAAAAAAAAAAATAAACCAAGCTCTACTCAACCTAATTTTCTGGAATAAAATAATTCTTTTTTATGAGCTACTTTTTACTGAGCAATAATAAATTGAAATCATAAAAGCAAAACATACAAAAAAAAAAAAAAAAAAAAAAAGCCTTTTTATTCAAATAACTTTAAATGGAAAAGATACTGAATTATCACTTAATTTACTAGCAGTACTTTGCTTACGGCCTTTCAAATCTAGCTATATTTCATCCGAAAATTCATTCTTGCTTTTTGTATCATTTTGCAAGGAAACATATCACATTATTATCATTTTTGATGATGAATCTAACTTTTGGAAAGTGAATGTGAATTATTAACATGATCACGTCATAATTCCGTACTTTTTGAAATCTGGATATGAGTTCATGTAAATTTATTTTATGTGTTGTATGATTGCTCTGAATTCCCATTATTACAATATTAATAAATTTCTGGTTAATTAATTCATTAATTTCATTCAAGATAATTCTTTTGAGTTGTACATCACCCTTTGACTTTTAGTTATGTAATAGTTAAGGGGCTCAATTCATGTTATATTTGAAAATTAGTCTTACTAATCCTAATCATTCTTACTTGGTTGTCACGTATGAAGTATTTGTAATTATGGAATCGTAATATATTAAGGCATAAGGAAATAAGCTAAACTAATTAAGGAAAATAAGCTGAACTCATATAATCACTTTATGCAGGATTTTTTTTTCACTGTACTGTCTTTCCATGTAACACAGTCATTTGTATTCACATCTTAATTTTTGCTGCATATTATTTTTGTCACAATCATTTGTCATTTTTTGAGCCACTCGCTACTTACCTGACGTATAGCTTGGCTTAATACTTTTACAAATTCAATAATTCCTTTTGTTTCCATTATCGAACCTCTTGAGATTAGGATATTTTTATGTTGGATTGTGATCAAAATATCTTTGTCAACATATGCATAACTGTGCATTTTTATTCATTTTGTTAACAAGCAGAAATGATTAATAAACTGTCCAGTAAACAACCAGATTTTGATACAGTATCCTTTTTTTTTTTTCTTCTCTATCTTCTAACCACTTCTTCAAGTGATGTTTTAGTTGTTAAACATTTTTGATTTTGACTTTAAATCAGGAACAAAGGAAAGTTTGTTTACCACAGTGAATGGCATAAAAAGTTTCGACTGCAGATAGATTGTTCTGTTTCTAAAATTACAGATGCAGTCCACCACATTTCATCACAGATCCATCACATTGCTACAATTATGGACATGTTAAAAGAGTGAGATCGAGAAAAAGTTTATATAAGTCCCCTCACTAATTAATCCTTTTCTTAAAAAAATGATATTGAATTAAAAAAAAAAATAAACCAAGCAATCCATCATGCTCTACTCAACCTAATTTTCTGGAATAAAATAAGATTCTATTTTTATGAGCTTACATTTTTACTGAGCACATAATAAATTGAAATCATAAAAGCAAAACATACAAAAAAAAAAAAAAAAAAAAGCCTTTTTATTCAAATAACTTTAAATGGAAAAGATACTGAATTATATTAGGTTATTCCATGAAATACTTTTGTAATTGGCCTAAGTGATATGTTCTATGTTGAAAATATTTAGATGGGAACTTCATAAGAGGTTTTGCTCTAGGCCACCAATTTTGTAACTTGATCTCTGGCACTAAATTTCAATAATAAATTTAAAACATTTTTTTTAAAGTAAAAAAAAAAGTATGACATGTTAAGAGAAAATATGGGGATGAACAACAAGTAATAGAAAGTAGTCAAAACATTTCATTTAATAAACAATAACAGTAGTTAATTTTTTTTGTCATACTTTGCTTATTATCTCATCAAAACATCCATACATTTAAGATGTTTACATATACATTAATAACCTAACATACAATGTAACTGTTTTAAGTTATGTTGTATGTTAAGTTATTACATTCAAGACTAATGGTAAAACCTTTTACAAAAAAACTTTTAAAGATTAAAAAAGTTCACTTATTGAATAGAATGATTTTTTTGAAAGTGTAGCTTTAACAATCTAAACATGACTGAATGAGAATTTGGTTTTGTGTTTTTATACTCTTTTTCATATATTTATTTCATTCTAAAGGTATAATTGAAATTTCAGGTATGGGAAAAGAGGTTGAAAATCTAATATCAGAAAATAATGAACTGTTAGCTACTAAGTAAGTAGATTTTTGTCTCCAAATCTTTTCTATTAGCAATATGAATAGTTATGAGTGTAATTTTTATATTTTTCATTCTAAAAGATCTGCTTTTCAGAGTGTTATATTTTCCTTTCTTTAGAAACGCCTTGAATGTTGTAAAAGATGACCTCATTGCCAAAGTAGATGAACTTACAAGGTAAATTTTTTTGTGTTAATTTTCTTATCATTAAAATTTTGTTTTAAATACTCTTTTTTTTTTTTTTTTTTTTTTTTTTAAGGTTTTATTTCCGACTGAACTGAAATTTATTCAATCACGTTTGACTCATTTGCATATTGGCATCTCTAAATGCTGTCCATTTGGTTATCTGATTATCATAGCTAGTGTCTGTAAACAAGCGATCCTAAAAAAGGGAAATTATGGTAAAAAGTATGAAATTGAAATAATAGAAAGTAAATGCTATTAGTGAGTTAATTTTTTTAAAAACATTTCTCCTCTATATAATGGTAACTTTTTTAGAAAGTACTTAAAACCTTATTATAAACTAGTTTCTGCCATAATAGTGCAATAACTGGAAAAACTCATTAAAAAACTAAAATCTTACTGAAGTGCAATTAGCAGTAGGGAAGAATACATTTTAAAATGAAATAGTTTCAGCTATATATTCATTCAAAAGTTAAATTAACATCAGTTTCACCATTCAAGTTCATATGAACCTTTTTTATGAACCAGTCTGTAGCAGAAGATCAAGTTCACTGTTGTTCAAAAATGTAAAAAAAATTATCAATTTGCTGTTAATAAATGGAAAGCTAAAGAATATTTTTTTAAATTTCTTTCAGTACTTGTAATCATCTCCACTATGCAACATGAGTCATACTTTTCATTTGTAGATATTTTCTATAAACTAAAACATTTTGTAAGGTTTCATTATAGAAATATGTATAAGGATGAGGAGCCAGTTTTGCTTGAAAAGCTAGTGCGAGACATAAAGTGTAGTATGTGTCTAAGTAATAGCCTAGTATTTTCTTCCTTTTCATTTGATACTTTAGATCCTGTATACTTTTGGTGAAGCTGGAAAGATAGCATGGCTCGACAGAAAAGCAGACAAATTAGTAGTATTTAAAAAAAGGGAAAAATAGATAAACATGTATACATTTCAAAATACTTAGAAACATGTAAAAAAATGACTTGTACAATAATAATATAATTAATACAGCATTTAAAATATGATGTTTAGTTTCTAAAGCTTTTAAAAAAAAGAAAATGGGAGAAAGCACAAATGAAGTGCTTAAATATATGTATATTAAGAAAACTGAAAGATATGTAATAAATGGATATAATAGTAATAAAATGTAGTGTTTATAGTTTTGCATGAAATTTTGTAAAACTTTTTTTTATATAAAGTAGTATTGCATTTTATGCAAAATGTGAGCAGTCTTAATTATCTTGCTTATTTTCAGAGGCTCTAGAATTATCCTGGAAGTGAATATATGATTTTAGGTTTAAGTAAAGCATTCCTAATGAAAGCATTCTGAGCCAACTGAATAGCTAAGTCTTTTACTTCGGTCCAGTAGTCTCTTCCACTTGAAAGGTTCGGTCCAGTAGTCTCTTCCACTTGAAAGGTTATGGTAGATGGGTACCTGAAAAATCCTATGAATATCTTTATATCATCTGTAGTAATATTAAAATCATGATAGTTTTTAACGTTTTTAGAATAGTGAATTGTCCTTTCTACCATTAAATAATATATTTCATTGAAAAAAAAACCATTTTTCAAATACAACGACTAGGAATGCATTTTTTAAGTCAGCTTCCAGTGCCACAAGGTAATCTTTATATTTTCCCTCTGATTCCAATCTGCTTTGTGTAATTTGGTGTTTTTGTTGTCTCAACTATTCTTGGCTTTAGCTGATTCCCGAGAAAGTGAAGGTAATTCCATTTTTTTTTCAGACTCATCATTTGCTGATACTATTTCAACTATCCCAGCAATATCCATTACAAATGGAATATCTAAATTACATCATGTGTTAGTTCATGAACTTCAGGTGGTATAGCAATAATACCATCATCGATTTTCTTAGAAAACAAGTATTCAGCTGGATCCTGTGCAGCAGTTAATATTTTCATATTTGTATTTTCAATGTAAAGAAGAAGGAACAAAACAATTATCATACAACCTGCAGTAAAAGAAAAAGAATGTCTGAATGCCCAGTGATTTATATAAAGTAACATTTGCATGCAAATTTTTACTAATTAACTTGATTTCGGGGGGAAAAAAAAAAAAAAAAAAAAACTCCATGGCAAAATAGCTGCATCTATAAGGATAAAATATAACCAAATAGAACTTCATTTACCTGTATCACTTTACTATTTTCTCAAGAAATGTGAAGAAATAGCTAAAAAAATGCATTCCAAAAAAAAAAAAAAAAAAAAAAAAAATATGAACCAATTTTATTTTCCTCTTGCTAGATAATGGCTGCAGTTCTCGAAGGAAGCACATGACATTTGAACTCCTAATTGTTTTAGCGTACTCCGTGTTTAGTTTTATCACTCTGGAATGCATTAAAGGTAATTTAAAAGCAATGTAGGGCCACTTATTTGGGCCTTTTAAAAATACATCGCTGAACATTAATGGGTTATTTGGGGAAAGCCACATAACCCATTTATCCATCCAAAATTATGTATATATATTTGGAGTAATGCTGCCTGGGCATGTGCTATCAGGTTATTGTCTGATTGAGTCAACAAGGATTGATTTCTACTTTTTGTATTTGGAGTAATGCTGCCTGGGCATGTGCTATCAGGTTATTGTCTGATTGAGTCAACAAGGATTGATTTCTACTTTTTGTATACTTATTTGTATTATTTTTATTTATTTATTTATTTGAATTTCCGTAAATCATGCTAAGATTCTGTGCATAAAAAGAGGAGTGGAATCCTGTTTTTTAGTTAATAATAAAGATAATTTTTAAACAAATATTTTTGTAGAAATAGGTGACATAAATTAACAGAATTGAATAAATTTGTTCATTTTCCTTTATTAAATTGAATCCTGATTAAAGCAGTTATTAATTATTTTTATTACTATAGATTAATTCAAATATATACATTTTTTAATTTATTAAAAATATAATCTAATGGATCTTACTAATTAATACAAAGTTTCAAACAGTATCTGCCAGTTGTTGCCATTCTCTGCCAATTTCAGCTGGTCTGCCACTTGCAGGACAAAAATTACAGGTCTGCCACTGACAGGGCAGGGGGTGGAAAACTTAAGGGGGGAAACTATAGTCACACAAAATGCTGCAAAATTAGTGTCAATGTAAAAGGGAACAAAAGTGAATTTAATCTAAAAGTAGTGGTAAGCTACCTAATATACAAAAAGCTTACACCGTATTGCATATACTAGGAAATTAATCCTGGAAGTAAATGTAACAAATAGAGACAAATAGTTCATAATAAAAAAATGAGTTTATAATCTGTATGGTATTTTGAAGGAACAGACAGAAGAATTATCATTGGAGCCAAATTTCTGAATTACATTTGGATGAAATGTTAAAACCACGTAAACTTGAAATGGAAATAGTAAATGAATGATTTTAATTTTTAATAGATTAGAATTTTAAATAAATTTAAAATTCCTTTAAATGCTAATAATTTTAAAATTAAAATTGTTTATGATGCTTCTTAATTATATGTACTCGTATCAAAAAGTCATGAATGCATTGATGACTTTGAGAACATTTGCGAATTGATTGGCAACTAATTTTTCACCAAGCTAATGCATAAAAAACAACAGCAATTTAAAAAATGTCCTTGCACTAAGAATTCCTTACAAGAACAATCAATCAATAAAATTTAGAAACCAAAAAGCATTTAGAATTTGTAGAACAATTTTTTTTTTTTTTTTTTTTGAGAAAACTTTCTTTTTTGAGATGTTGTTTTTTCCCATATATACAACAGTCTGTTTTTGCTTTAAAAATGAGTTTATAATCTGTATGTATTTTGAAGGAACAGACGAAGAATTATCATTGGAGCCAAATTTCTGAATTACATTGGAGAAATGTTAAAACCGTTTGAAATGGAATAGTAATGAATGATTTTCATTTTTAAGATTAGAATTTTAAATAAAATTTAAAATTCCTTTAAATGCTTATTTTAAATAAAATTGTTTATGATGCTTATTAATTATATGACTCGTATAAAACGTCATGTTTGATGACTTTGAGACATTTGCGAATATTGGCAACTAATTTTCACCAAGCTAATGCATATAAAAAACAACAGCAATTTAAAAATTCCTTGCAATAAGAATTCCTTACAAGAACAATCAACAATAAAATTTAGAACCAAAAACATTTAGATTGTCGAACAATTTTTTTTTTTTTTTTGAGAAAACTTTCTTTTTTGAGATGTTGTTTTTTCCCATATATACAACAGTCTGTTTTTGCTTTAAAAAAAAAAAATTACACAAGCTCTGTATCTGTGCAATTTGATATTGCATTTTCGGCAAATCAGACATGTACTACATGTATATTTGGATTGCCACATAAATACTCTTTAAGAACATTGTGGGTTACCACATAACAGTTTTGGCAATATACTGCTTTGCCTCATGAATATTTTTTGAAACTTTTAATACAGAAAATATCCCATGCAAAGGAAAAAATAAAAACAGTTATATAGAGAAAATCAATATTATTTGACATAATTATAGTATCATTTTTCTCACATGTAGTTTTAGAAATAATGTTAATTGAAAAGTACTTGAGTTATTAATATATAAAAGTAATTCATTAACTTAGTTCTGTTGTTGAATATATTTGCATTTATTGTAAATATTATTAGCACTTCAATGTGCATTCTCAAACATCATCATACCTTGTAAAATATAAGAGCACATATTAATCAATTTTAAGACATTTTTACAAATATAAAATGCATTTGATCATGATAATTAATGAAGATATTTTTAATCTACTGAAGGCATGTAAGTGCCATTTATTTGTTGTATTTATGTAGTATATATGTAGGTATTGTATGTAGTATTGTATTATCAAATGTCTTTCATATTGCCTTTTTGCAGTGAACAAGAGATATTAAGAGAAGAATTAAAACAATACATGAGTGTCAAAGAGAAGCTAAAGCAAAGAATATCTGAACTAGAGGAAGAATTAAAGAAAGCCAAAGAAGCAGCTGAAAAGTCAAAATCTGGAAAATCTGATGATGAAGTAAATATAGCTATTTATATTTTCTCCCATTTCTAATATAGTTATTTACTATTTTAGATTTGTAAGATTATAGGCTGATACTATATTCTCCCATATTAAAAAATCACAGGAGGAATTACCAATGGCTCAGAGGAAAAGGTTTACTCGTGTTGAAATGGCTCGTGTATTAATGGAAAGAAATCAATACAAAGAACGGCTGATGGAACTTCAAGAAGCTGTGAGATGGACTGAAATGATACGTGCATCTCGTAGTGATTCTTCCCTTGATACGAAAAGGAACAAATCTTCTATATGGAAATTGTAAGTGTCTTTTAGTAACAGATACTATGTCCAAATTTTTAACACTGCTATATTTGTATCATATTTCTTAAAATATTTGACACTTTTATATTAATGGGGTGCATGTGACGCCAGATGTAAGTGTTGGTGCGAAGTCTAACTAGGATAGGAATGTGAAGGATATATGCAGCTTTATGAAAGGAATGTGTATTTTTTAAAATACAAAATAAATGCAAAAAACGACAACAACTACAGAAATCACAAATAAAAATACATGTAACTATTCTAATTGACAGCTGCAGTTAACAGAATTCTACTAACATAAACTGCTAACACCTAAAAAAAAAAAAAAAAAAAAAAACCAAAAGTGTATCAGAAAAGTAATGTGCAAAACTTCAAAATAGCATCTACTTTCTAAACCTTACATTGTGGCATAATGCTTTGTTGTATTGCCATTTCTATGCTCAGTAATAAAAACATGATTTCACATCATGGTTTTCTAATTCCAAGTTTTTCAGTGTAGCCTTGAAAGTACTTAAATGTGACTATTCATCATTGAGCAATCGCTAAACTGTATAATCTGCAATTATTTTTTTTAATTACATAAAGACCACTTCAAAAAAAATTATTGAAGGGAAACTTTCAGGACTAGACTGGTTTTCATTTTTCTTGTTTATTTGTAATGACATCATTGTATAATTACTTGGGAAGTGAATAAATAATAAATACCACAGATGATATTTTTGTGCACAGACAATGACTGTACCATTATTTAAAACAGTGCCAAAGAATGATATTTTTGTGATGGTGTTTTATCATTTGGGATGGAATTGAGAAATTTTGTTTTGATTTTTTTGTAATAAAATTAAATATTAAAAAGTTACTACTTCTTTTAAGCTGGACAGTAAGGTATAGAGTATCAAAAGAATAATTGATAATATTTATTTGTTTAAAATAAATTATATATAAAGGTGATTATGGTCGAGATATAGCTGGCATTCTAGATTTTTTACTTTCTCAAATCCATATTTCTAGATTTGGAAATTGTGGACTCTGTAATCAGTAAATTTATAAAATCAACATCCTTTTCAAATTTTGTGTTTGAACAAATATATCATTAAAAATTGCACAAATTAAAAATTTTTGACTATATTTAGTTCAGTGAAAGGTCAAATTACTTGTCTGTGCAAACTAAGTTCGCCTAATGAAAAAAAATCCCCCCCCCATACAGAAACAGAAAAAAAATTGAAATTGTAATGTTTCGGGCTGCGGTATTCAGACTGCAAAAAATGGCAAACAGAAATTCCCAATACTCACAGAATTGATTGAATCTGTTTTAACTCGCTTTCATTGGCTTGTTGAATGCTCATTTGATTATATGAGTGACACTATGTCAGAAAGGAGAGCTTAGTTGTACAATGATAACTTAGATGCTACACAGATTAAACTTTATTTATTTTCATTACACAAAACTAAATATGTGGCTTTTGAATCAGAAAATCCCTCTTATCACTATTGATGAAAGTTTTATAGATAATTTATTGCACAATTGGACAGCTTACCAAAATTCTTTACATTCCATAAACCTCTTCTTCTTAACAGTTCTTCATCTTTAACACCTGTTGATATGCATACTGCAAGTTCTAATACTTAAAAGGTTAAGTAATTGTCTGCATCAAAATATCTTGCTGATTAAACTAAATTTTCTGTTATTAGCAAAGAAAAACATAAACTCAGTCCTTCCTTGAAAGCACCAACCTTTGTTCCCCCCCCCAAAAAAAACTTAGCAATTATTTTTTAAAATGTTGATAAACCACAGAGATAGACGACTGTGAAGTCTGTATAGTGGCACATAAATTAATTCTTTATAGATTAAAAAATTCTACTTTTTTGCTTCACTAGCAAAATATTTCAAAATATGTATGTATACTTTAGTTTAAATATCACTCTAAATAACAATCAAAGTCCAACATTAAGAATCAGCGTAAATTTTAAAAAATTTTTTGCAGTACTAGTTTTGATAGTTTTTAAACTAACTTCTTCAGCTGCTACACTCTAAACTAGTTCAAAAACTATTGAAACTAGTACTGCAAAATTTTTTAAAAAATTTACACTAATTTTTAATGTTGGACTTTGTTTTTGAATGTATGTATACATTAAGTGTTTCACAACAATATTCAGAGTTATTTGAAATTATGTTGAATTTTTTACTGCAGAATATTTCTCAGGTTTTTTGAAATGCAGTTGCATTCACCCCTGTTATATGTATAATATTTTGTAACAAAACTGATTAAAAAAAAAAGTGTTGTTTTATGAGCATTTTAATTTTTTCTTTTAATCTGGAGAAAGATTTAAAAATAAAAGCATAAACATAAGCTGTATCAGTACCTTTTGAAAATTAAGGAAAGTAATAGTAAAATTATATATTAATATTGTTTTGGTTTAATATAAGATGGCTTTGCAAGTTACAACTGTGCCTTTTGAGGGTGTTTCAAAAGAAAAAAGTAAAAGATTTCAGAAACTTCTTAAGTTGTGAAATTTTAATTAAATGCACTAGAAATCAAATTATTATTATTACTATTATTTTAAATCTGACAAAGCATTCTTGATCATCTGTAATAAAAAATAAAAAGTATAGGGCTGACGAGAGTGGTGGATTTGGAAAAAAAAAAAAAAAAAAAATTAGCAAAGAAAAAATTTAAGTGAATTGAATGTAATCATTCTTATATGTGTCATTTATTTCTATCCCTTGAAATTCAGCTAATGTCTTAATAGAATTCATATAAAAGTCACTATGCGATTTTATTTTACAGTGCTTTTAACTAAAACCTTAAAAAAATTCTTTTCTATATTTTATTTTATACTTTTTATTTTTAGTCTATAGAATATGGAAAAATAATAAAGAAAAAATTCACTGCTTTGAATGTTTGAAAATATTCATTGTAATCACAATAGCAGCAAAGAGCACACATGACTAATTTTTTAATCCTGACTAAGTATCTTCATTAAAAATTTTAAATCAATCAAGCATTTCCGCTTATGTACTTCAGTGATGTGAATTTTTTATTAATTTCAGTAAGATTCTTTTTTTTTTCTACTAAAACCTGTTCTTGTAAAACTGAAAATTTTAAGAAAAAGAATCTAGAATTCTCTGTGTAAAAAATTTTATGTTGCATATTTGGAAATTTTTTAATTATTATTGAAAGTTTTCTTAATTTAGTTTCAGCAATTTATTTAATGCAAATGAAAAGCCTCCTAGGAAATCTATGCCTTTTGTAAATGTTCATTATAATGCTCCTACAACAAGCTCAGGTCCTGCCTTGGACACAATGAGAAAGAAGCGATTAGGTGACAGACACAGAGGCCTTGACATACTTGACAGTGATTTGTAAGTGAAAAGTTATATGTAGCTTTAAACTGTAATTATTTTGTAGTATCTATGTTTATACTTTTTTTTATAAATATAGTTATTGCAAATAAAATGACAGATTAAAAGTGTCATGAACTGTATTCGCTGAGGGGAAAACCAAAACTAAAAGTTTTCATAAATTATTGAGGTAAAGTCAACAAGGAATTCAAATCAACAGGCTAAATTTTTCTTTAAGAACTTAAATTGTGAAATTATTCAAAGATGATTACTATTATTATTTGGCATCAATTCGCAAAATGAGTTTTTGAGCCTTGAAAATAAATTCTTTAGGCATGCTGCTTTTCTCTATTGATCAGAGATTAAAGGACTTGACTGAAATAGATTCACACTAATCAGAGCAGCAGGGAAGGCAGAACCTGTCTACTTTTCAACTCTTTTTTTTTTTTTTTTTCTAACTGTTCCGTAATAGGTTAAGTATATATAGGTGCTGCATATGTTCAGTGATTGAAGCTGGAAGAGTGTTTGCAATTGCTCTCATCTTCATTTCACATGCTTGAGCAGCCTTCAAAATTATAGGCATTGCTTGTTAAAAGATCGGTAGATTGCCCACAAGTAATGATGCATCCAGAGGAATACTGAATGTTCCTACAGGCCAAAAGTGGCTGTTATCAAACAGCAAGTGAAGTATCGAATACTGTGCACAGGACATATCATGGTTTAGTATGCCTTACTTATTCAGAAAGATCTGGTACACAGGCAATCCTTCCTGAATCACTGGGACATTTTCTAGGCAATAATATTTTAATTTATTATTAAGCCAAATTTATTGTTGCTACTAATTTACCTCAATCTAGATTTCCTAGTAGTTTTGGAAATCTTTTTCCATAATAATCTAGTCAGTGACAATAGTTTCCACTCTGGTGCTATTGAAATTGCAGAGAAATCTGTTCTGAGCCTCGCTTTTCTTCATCCAACCTCGTATTCTAGCCTGTACTAACAGTGCTTTGACAATGCTGGACCAGTTCCAATGAAATTGCAGTCAGCGATATTTTCATCTTTATTTACATGTTGAACTACTCTTTGTTTTATTTGAAACTGAATAAAGTTATTTTCTTTAAGTTTTTGAGATTTTTGGGAAGGCATCTTGCTGCATGCACATATGGAGTTCCAAATATTGGATGGAAATAAAGTCTGTGTTGAATAGTACTTTTATCGAAAACTTCTGAAGCATGTGTGTCTCTTCAGAAGTAGTATTGGTCTCTCTCTCTCTTCAGAAGTAGTATAGTAAGTAGTATCGTTATTCGCCATGGTGAGAAAACAGGGAGAATAATGACAGATCTCCTTGTACAGCAGTTGTTGCAATGTGAAGATACTGAGTAGCCTGCCTGTCTCTGTATGTAAATCTGAATCATCATGTTACAGGTGTGCTCTCTCTGGGTTGAATCAGAATGGTATACTATACCATTTCTTTATTAACAGAATCTACATATTATATTATGTACATCCAGCTGTATGCTGGGAAATCATAATTTAAACACAATATACTATTATGTTTATTCTCTTTCTTTTAACTCTGTTGTGTGCTTCTCAGTTTCAGAATGCCCTCTGATGGCACCGTTCTTACAATGCCATCTGTCGGCAGATTACAATCACATGTGGAATACCTTAGGGAAACACTTTGTGCATGCCTAACCGAGCAGCATATATGCAGCAGCTCGAGATTATTAAATATGGATTAAGAAACTTTAGTAAAAGTATTCTGTATGATAATGTAAATAAACTGTAATTTGTGGAAAATAATATGAACATTCAGTCAAGTGCCAGGTGTTGCCATAATCAATATTCAGTAAATACCAGGTGATCAAAGAGACTGAAGAACTAAAATTAATTTTTCAAACATTTTTCATTCTGAAACATTAGTTAGTTTGTAAATATTTATATCCCAAAATTTAAAGCTATTGTTTTTATAATTCTTTATATTGATGATAAGTATTTTATAGGCAGTACTAGTATTGATACTATTTAATATCGATTTTGATAATTTTAGTTCTTAATTAGAAATATTTCATCTCAAGGGTTTCTGAGAAACTTCAACAGCAAAGAGCAAGAGAGCGCCGAGAGCAATATAAACAAGTTCGGGCTCATGTTAGGAAGGAGGATGGTAGGCTGCAAGCTTATGGATGGAGTCTTCCATCTCGGACAAGTTCAACTGTTAAAAATACGGAAACAGAAACAGCCACTCAAGCAAAAACTCATAATTCTTCGGTTCCGGTCCCAGTTCCAGTCTTTTGCCGACCACTACTGGAGAAAGAAATTGGAATGAAGGTAATCAGTATCAGTTACTGAATGATAATATAATGATAGAATTTAGTCTTCATTTCTCCCTTCCCCTATTTCTTTTCCTATTCCCAACTTTTTTTTTAAAGAGGAGATATAATTTTTTTTTGAAAGAGGGGAGATAATTATGTTGGCTTGCACTTTTTTGGCAATAATTTGTTTGACACCAAGAATTTTTTCACCGTTAAAACATTTTGGTAACCCTTATGTACTGTGTCATCAAATATTCTTTCCAACAGCCTGTAAACATTATTGAGCTTTCAGCCATGTTTTTTGTAATGACCTTCATTTAAGATTTAGCCATTCTGTTTTCAGCCATTTTCAGAAAATACTTTAGTTAATGTAATAAACAGTCACTTGTTTTACAGCAAATATTACAGAGAATCTATTGTTCAAGTAGTATCCTTCTGAAATCGTTGTTTTGCTCCCATTTTGTATGACTGCTTACAATAACTGAAATGTAAGTTCCATGAGTTTTTTTTTTTTTTTTTTAAATTTATTTTGTCTTTCGTACAACATGCAAATAGTTTTGAAGTAAGTCTGATCTATTTGATTGTTTATTTTCATCTTTGATAATAAATAAATAATTGATGTTTTGTTTCTTGGATTCGACTGCTACCAATAAAACATAAGCTGAGACGACTAATAAGTACTGTTATAACTTAATCCATTATGTACAAACAAAGTGTATAATTGAAGTTATTAAAAATAAAAAAGTTAATTCATGAAAAAAGTTAATTCATTATGTACAAACAAATTGTATAATTGAAGTTATGCATTTGTTTTATGGCTTTAGAATATTGTTTCATTTAACTATCAAAGAAACAGGCAATGTGTTTTTTGAAAAATGCTCTGAAATTTACATTTGCAGTCTGATTGGCATATTCAGAAGCTGATAAGCAATAGTTATAACAAAATAGTCTTGAAAATTGATAGTTATGATTCCAAATTATTCTAAAGAATTGTATGTTTAGGCTGATAACTTTGTTAAAAAATTTTTTGCAAACAAAAAAGTGTATTTCATTTTCTTATAGTTTATTTCTACACTCAATCACATAAACAAATTAGGACGTAACATAACCAAAACACTTAATACAGAAAAGTATTATGACAATTCATCATTGTTGTCATTCCAATTAGAAAATTTAACTGTTGCCACTCAGTTTTACATAAATAATCATTGAAATAATAAATAACACTCAGCACATTCCCTTACCTTTTATTTCATTACTAAATTCAAACATTAAATCAAATTTAGCATTTATTGATTATCAAAAATATTTACTGCTTAATTTAATAAAATTTTCAATGTACAAAATAATTCGTAAATTTATTATACTTTACCTAATGGTTTTGTGAACATATCTGCTATATCATCATAAGAAGTTACAAAAACTAAATTTGTATTACCTTTCTTAACTTTTCCTGACAAAAAATAATAACTTACTTCAATTTGTGTATTTCTCCCATTCAAATTTTCATTAACCAATTTAATGTTATCCTGATTATCAATGTTTAAAACAGTTATAACAGTCTTATCGGTTATTTCTTCCAAAAATATGAAGATTTTTTAAATTTAAAAGTTCTGTAACACAGTCTGCTGCCCCTTTGTTTGCAGAATTAGTAGTTGAAAAAACAACTATTGATTATTTACTCATACTCCAGCTCATAGGATTTCCTTAATAGAAATCACATACTGAGTAGTGCTTTTGCATGTTTGTTTATCACTTGCGTAAACCATCATTGGAAACTTCTAATTTTTCAGTTGAAGTAGAACAGTTCTCCAAACATTTATAATGCAGACCCAAATTTATGGTATCTTTTAAGTATCTGTGAATTTTGTTTTCATTTTCAACATTTTTTACACTTAGATTTTCTGCAATTTTCATTTTCAAGACTAACAGCATGAGTTGAATCTTGATGAGTGTTGTTAAACAGATAAAAAAGATTACCAATCTAGGCTAATTAACCTTTCTTCTTTCATTAGATGTCGTTGGCTCTAATCATATTGGAATGTTTATTTCTTTACATTAAGACATTCCAGATTCCTCAACATCTATTGAATGTCTTAACTATTTTAGCAATATAGTTCTTCCTTCATTTCTTTCCATTTCCAAAAAGTTACTTGGCTGTTATTCTACTTCTGCTTCAAATTCACTTGATATTTCTTCTAAAATTTTCTTCATTTGTTGTTCTCAGTGTTTTCTGTTTAAGGCACTTTCATAAACAAATATTGCTAAGATTTCAGAGGATCATTTAACTTACTCCTGTCATATTTTGAATGAGGTTTGAATGAAACCTTTTCTATTTAGAAATTTTGTGAAGAAATCATTCTAATTGAAAGGAGCCATACCTCTGTAACTTCAGTATTTTATTTTCATAATCAAAGTTTTCTGGAACTTTTTATCATCTTTTATATCTCAATACAAAAAAGTTGTCTTAATATTAAATTACATCATTTCAAGCTTATTCTTAGGCAAAGTCAGTTCCCTCTTCTTGTTAAAATCCTCTTGCAACAAATTTAGTGTTAAAACAACCATCTCCTTTGACGTTAAAATCCATTTATTGCTTAAAATTTTCATATTTTCTGCTACACTGCTTCTCAAGTTTTATTTTTAATTAAAGATTTCCCCTGTCTTTACCTCATTTTCCTTTCATCTTCCGATATTGCTTTTTGGTATGAGAACATCATTACAAATCTCTATTTTGTGGGTAATTTTCTGTTTTTGGAAGTCACTCTTCATTTTCAGCCTCATATTTTCCGTTTTCATCTTCATTCTCATTATCGGCTTCTAAATCGACATTTTTCATGGTGGGAATGCTTTCGTCTTAAATATTTTCTGAAATTTCGTTTTAGTTTTCTTCCCGCTGAATAATTTTTGTATTTTATATTTTTGTCTTCTCCATTTATTGAGTTTAAATTTTCATTGAATGCAACATCTCTGGATATTTTTATTTTGCTTGCATTTCTGCTTCATAATCTATAGCCATTTGTTCCATATCTAGCAAAAAAATGTTTACTTTTCATTTCGTTGAATTGAGCAAGCTAATGGAGTGGCAAAGGTAACTCTGAAATTGTTATTTTTATAATTTTTAATGAATACTTTTGTATTTTGTTGTCTTTGTTAGGTGTGGTGTGCTGCTGGAGTTGATTTAACTGGGGGCAAACCTGAATCATCAAATGTGTCAGTTGTGGGTTCTAGTTTGTTCTATGTAACTTCAGCAGATGAAGTAACAAAACTTAATGATGAGTTAAAGGTTTGTATTTTTAATTTTATGTATAAAATTATACTTAATTTATTTATACATCTTAAAGTTTCAAGTCATGAATAAGTGTTAATTTTTTGTATGTATATAATCGCTTTTAAATCTTGAAGTTAATCCTTTTGTCAAAAAGGATGAAAGTATCTTCTGTCACAGACGATGAATTCTTTACTTAGTTTTATAAAAACTGGATTATAGAAATATTTTCACGATTTCATTATTATGAATGTATTGGAGCGAAAAATTTTGACAAAATTATAATGGAAAATATGCAGTATTCTCTATAGCTTTGTGTTGTATGTGTACAGTGTGTTTGGGGGAAAGGAGAAGTGGCTGTTTATTTTTTTAAATGCTGGTTCTAAGCCTATGTTTTCAATTAACAGGTTTCTTAAAATAGATCGGGTTGGATTATTTGATTTAGGTGGAGCACACTAGGTTATCTGCCTAAGCTGTATTCCCCTTTATTAGATTAAAATTCAGAATCAGATTCAGAAAAACAGCATCAACTGTGGATAGAAAGAGTTTTATTTTTGAAAAAAAGAAGAAAGGAAAGAAGGAAAAGATTTATAGTTTCTTATGTGCTTTTAGATCTAATTAGTTAGATATAACATTTTTCATAGTTGAATGCAAAAAAAATTGTATCTTTATACACGAAATTTTGCATAATACCTGTAACAATTTAAATTTTTATAGCTACTTCCTACATTTAAAAATTTTTGATTATATGATTAATAGCCATGGGAAAGTAACTCAAATCATTATGTTTGCTCCTGAATATCTCTGTTAGTTTCCACCATAAAAGCATGGAATATCTTCTTTTTCTTTTTTAACTACTTAAAGCATAATGATTGTTTTACTAATTTTTATTCTATGATAATTGTATAAAAATTATTTAAAAAAAAACAAATTCAATCTGGTAAATCAACAAAATTGCTTCTAATGAGAATTTTAAAAATTGAAATATTGTGAAAAATTAAATTTTCAGGATTTTATTTTGTACATTTATTTATTTTGAATTTTTGATGCACTTTAGTGCAGATTGTGGTTAATTTTTATTATCTTCTAATTTAATTACATTTGATACTGTAAAGTTAGTTTTGAAGAATTGACAATATAATCAGTGTTCACATTAATTTAATGTAATTTGAAGCAGTTGTCTTTCATTTCTTAATCAAACATAATAATATATTCAAATGTTGGAATCATCAAAATTTGTCCTGCACTTTTTTAATGATAAGTGAATAAAAATCAAAACAAGGTGAATAAAAATTCAATGACCGTAGAAAGTAGAAAATTCAAAGGATGCATAGTATTAAGATTTCCATTTATTTATCTGGCTATTGTTTTGTAGGAACAACACTTGGTAATGCAAAATTAGATATTTTACCTATGAAAATTCACTAAAATAATTTCATTGAAATCTTGTAAAATGTGAGAACTTGAACCACTTTGATTTTCAGTTAAAACTATAAAAATTTGTTTGCTTTCAGACATGTTTGAAAAATTTATTTTAAAATTAACATTATGAAGAGCACAAATGTAATTTGGGTATTGTGAGATGACAAGGGAGGCAATAATTTTGTGCATCATATCAAACTGAAGCATTTATTAAAATGTTTAGGAATGTGACAAGTTCTGTATCATAAAGAAAAAGGGTTAGGTGTTGATGTTTAACAATGATATCATGTGACAACTTCTCACTTAAAAAATAGTGATAATATGATATTCATTCCAGATATAATATCAGATCACTTATTTTGATAGAATGGGTGGCATTACAATGTGTGCAAATATGCTATATATGATAGAACCTCAATCGTCCAAATGGTAAATTACATGAACTCATTAACCTGAAGTGCCAAACTTTCATATAATTAATATTAATCAGAGCTCTTAAACTTAAGGAATTGTGCCATCATGTAGCGAACACTTATTAGTTTGAACAAGATAGATTTATAATGGGCAAAAATCAACAGTTTTGATCATTATAATGTTTTATTCATTTTGATGAAAAGTATAATTTAATTCTGAAATAAAATATTTTAAAATTTGTACTTTTATTAAATTTGTGTAAATGAATCATTAATTTGAAATACAATACAAAGTTAGAAATACAAATACCCAATATCTGGAATGATAAAAAATCCGGACCTACAGATCACCAGCAACCTCTTTTTTTTTTTTTTTTTTTTTTTGTATGGTTTATACTTGTGCATTTGGTAGTTTTCATGATAAAATTTCACTTTGCTACTGATGCCAACCTGGCAAATATTTTTTTATTATTTTTTATTTTAATTACGCCATGATTATCAACATACTGCAGCTTGAGAAAGGACTCATGCAGCAATGTCTAAGCACTTTTTTTATTTTTATGCTAATAATTGAATACTAAAGATAATGGTAATCTTTTATATTTACATTATGCTTGGTGTTGATTATAGACTTAAGCTAATTTGATGTGTTGTGTGTGTTAACAAGGAAAAATTTAATAGAAATTTTGTTCTGTGTGCTAAAAGTAGATTTTGTAAGTGATACTCATAGTCCAAAAGATTACATTTAGGCTCTTTGTATTTGAATAAGTCGTTAAGTCCTGGACTGGTGCCAGAGCATGCTGGTGTACTGTGTGGCAAAATTTAAGGTAAAATTTTTATAATTTAGGGAAGTACCAAGTAACAAAACTAAGGGGTTTAAAAAAGGTATTGGAATGCAAAATTAGGAGAACAAAATGTTTAGAATTTAGGGAGGTGCTTGGCAGCAGAATTTCAAACCCACAGAGATATGCACTAGTCTGCAAAATGTCTAGCACTTGCTCTGGATAAGGCTTAAGTATAAGTAGAAATTCATTTATTTTGAAACTCAGATAAGCCTTAAGCATGTGCGGAAAATAGTTACGACTATTTTCCGCACATGCGGAAATTATATTCACATTCTGAATTATATTAGTTTAGTTATTTAAGTGTAATAAATAACTAAAGTAATATAATTCAGGCATAACTTTGTCAGTGTACAATAGAAGGAAGATAAAATTTTAAACCTGTTTTTAGTTGACAATCTCATGATAAATCACCAATATTGTACAGAGGACGCTAACAAAGCTTTATGATGATAGTTGCAGATTTTAAGATTTTCAGATATCGCCACAAAAAGTGATTGCAAAGACAATGCCCCAATCATCAGTCAGCTAATGGATGGCAAAATCTGTAGTATGGCTCTGAATGCAGAAAATATCACTAATGATAGTGACAAAAGTGACAGATAGGTTGTTGAGAATGAAAAAATTATGATTGACAATTTAGTGGGAATTCTCTAAACAGTGGAACTTTGTAACTGAACAAAAAGTTATGTCTATCTGTGTAATTAAAGAAAAACTTGCATTGAAAGAAATGTTTAATAAAGCAAACAAATAAATATAGAGTTTTATTTTGATTTTTGGAGTCATAAATGCTTTATTATTTCATAATTTATTCATTATTTATTATTTATTATTTCATTTAGTTCATCAGTTTTACCGAACCATCAAAACTAGTCCTGTGAAAACTTGAAAAATATTACATAGATTTTTGTTGTTTGACTTCTAAATTATTATTTGTTCGGCGTGTTATTGTATCTTGATGATCTATCATCTGGAAATGAGAAGTTCTGATTGGTCTGGAACTGTCAGTACTATACTTACTTTTTATGCATTGATTATGCTGATCTATCTTAATTAAAGGTGTACTGAGCATAAATTTAATTTATAATACATAGTTATTTAAATCAAATTGTGGAGATCATAAGTTATGCAGGTATAAGATTATAAATTATTTGGTGATTTCAGTTCTTTAAAAATATTTGAAGCATGCTTGTCTGAAAATAGCTGTATAGAGAACACAAATCATAATTTCAGAGGTAAATGTAATGGAAATGGTATTTGATGCAAGAAATTTACTATCAATGAGAAATTTATCATTGATAAAACATGTTAATCCAAATATAAGACAATTTTTGTTACTAAAATTAATTTTTATTCTCTGTGTAATATTTTATTATACTTTTTGCATATGTCTATAATTTATGATAATTTCTAGGAGTATGAGAAACATCGTAAAGAGCAGATGCTGATGGAGCGCAACCTTTCGTCCTATGTTTGGTTATGCACTAGTACACACACGACTAGTAAAGTCACTGTCATTGATGCTAATAATCCCGCAGAAATTTTAGACTCTTTTCAAGTATGCAGCTCACATCTTCTTTGTATTGCAAGTATTCCAGGTAATGCTGTTAGTTAAGAAATTTATTTCTGCTTATACAATTTAGAATAGTTTATGTAACACATTTAATATTCAAGTTAAAAAATAACAAAAGTTTTCTGTCTTTCGAGGAAATAAAATGCATTTTCGTTTCAAATTATTAAATTTAAACATTTGATTTTTTCTGTAAGTAGTGCTGAATATGTTATTTGCAAAAGTGACTGTGTTTTGTGCTGAAAAATATTAGTATTTAAGACAGGCAATACACCTTTAAATAAAACTTGTGATTGAATACAATTAAAATTTGTAATACTATTTTTAATTTGGTTACTTTTCTTTTCCATCAACTCTTTTTTTTTATTAGTAAATTTTGTAATTTTTATTTATTGAAAAAACAAAATGGATAAATGCTATTTTTTTCCTTGAAATATACTATTTTCATGGCTTTGTACTCATCGTAAACTTATATATTTTAAAATGATTATCCTCAGAGTATTGCTATGGCTACAATTTGTAGAGTTCTCTTTAATAACTATGCCAGGTAAACAAAAGAATATAGCACTGTAATCAGCTATACATAGCTTGGGGGGGGGAAACAGAGATAAGGCAAATTCTTAAACATGAAAGGAATATTGCATATCACCAGAATAACTGGCGAAGAAAAGTAATCACCAAGCAGGAGCTCAAGATTGCCACACAGCTCTGAATTGAATCATTAAATTGATTGACGATTAAACTGATTGAAAATATGCATTAAATAAGCAAACAAAAAAATTAATTTAAAAGTGCATAACACCCAGGGCTGTGGAGTCGGAATCGGAATTTGGTAGATTTGGGGGTAAAAGGATTTGGAGTAGGAGTCACTAAAAAAACACATTGACTCTGACTCCCGTTTTTGATGAACAATTTGAATTTGAAGTGAAATTAAAGTGAATTGAAAAAAAAAATTAATGACAAACTCAGTTTATTTTTATTTATGGACTATATACGAGGGCAATACCAAAAAAAAAAGGTCTCTTATTTTTTGGGGACGTAGAGAAAGTTTTAATACAGTTGTTGGCAACACTGTTGTGAGTGGTGCCTTCTCCGCTACCACATAAGCACGCAGGCATTTTGCTCGGATGCTCAGTCTTGGCGTTTCAGCCATTCAAAATGGAGCTCTCGATAAACATTACCGCCAAGTGCGAAGTGCGGGCAGTTATTCGGTTTTGAACACAAAAGGCATTAAACCGGTTGAAATTCACCGCCTATTGACGGAAGTGTATGGACAGTCATACATGGATGTCAAAAACCTTCGCAAGTGGTGTAGAGAGTTTACAGCCGGTCATACTGAAATTCATGACGAAGAAAGGAGCGGGAGGCCGTCAATTGCCGACGAGACAATCGCAAAAGTTGAGGAACTCATGCATAAAGATCAGAGGATCATTTTGCTTCCTAAGGTTTCCAGAAGCACCATCCACAGGATTTTAACAGAAAAGTTGCAATATTGGAAGGCGTGTGCAAGATGGGTGCTGCGTATGCTGACAGAAGACCACAAAGGGCAACGGGTTGATTCTTCTCGCATTTGTCTGGATGGCGGTTCTGCTCCGATGATGAGGTGAAAGATGAGGTTCAACGCTTCCTGAAGGGCATGGCGGCAAGCTGGTATGACATGGGCATTGTAAAACTGCCACAGCGTCTACGAAAAGGCAGAGTTGCCAACTCTCCCGATTTAGGCGGGAGACTCCCGATTTTCGGCCGCTCTCCTGCCAACCTGATTTACAATATATTTCTCCCGACTTTTTCTTATTCTTAAAATTTCTCACGATTTTTATGGAACTTGGCTTAATACTTTCTTATATAAACAAAAAAAAAAAAAAAAAAAAAAAAAAAAAGATTTTGGACGACCGAAAGGAATTGAATTTTTCCTAGATTATATTTAAAACAAAACCTTGCGAATCAGATAACTTCTGCTTTGTGAGTGAGAGAATATACATATCCAGAAACATCGTTCTCCAGTTCTCCAATGGGTATTGAGCTCCACTGCGTGTCATTGGGCATATATTAGCCAATGAGGACAAAGCAAGCTGTTATTTGGATATTCTTTAGTTATTTCGTTCATTTTGTTCTGAGTTGTGTGAGTACACATGCCTTCGGGAAATAGTGTTAGAAGTTATCATCTTTTGCTATGTCTGCAAGAAAGGTGAAATACTCATGTACGTTTCAAAAATCGTACACAGTTGACTTTCCTTCCATTATTTCCTCAAGGAAATGTAATAAATTTGCGATGTGTACCGCCTGTCATTACGATTTTTCGATTTCACATGGTGGAAGGGCGGATGTTTTCAAACATGTGCGTACACAAAAACACAAGGACAAAATGAGTTCTTTTGGGGGGGGGATAAACGGAAAATTAAATTTTTTCCCGAAAACAGAGGACCAAAAAGTTATTAATGCAGAATATCTGTTCTCTGCCTTCTGACTTGAGCACAACCTGCCACTGAATGCATAGGATCACGCTGCAGCTTTATTTAGAAAAATGTTTTCCGATAATGAAATCGCTAAGAAATACGTAAGTATAAGAACCAAAACAGGTGCAATTGTTAAAGAAATGGGTTTGAAAAATAAATCTTCAGTTATTTATTGCATTAAAAGAACTCCGTTCTGCCTCTCTACAGATGGAAGCAATAATACCGATTCAAAACTGTATCCAATTGTTGTTTCTTTTTTTAATCCAGAGTCTTCAGAAATTGAGTGCAGTTTATTTTCTGTCCCCACTTTAGAAGGACATTTCACAGGCTTTAATATAGCACAGCTAATTGTTAAAACTTGATAATGCACCATTATTGGTAGGCTTAAGGACTGGTGTTGCAGGCATCTGAAGAAAGGAAAATTCAGATTTGCAGATTATGAGGTGCACCTGTCACCTCTTAGATTTAGCAGCTGAAAAAGGGGTAGCTTCTTTACCAATAAATGTTGGTGTTGGCGATAATTTTCAAAATCGTGCCAAGGCTGCACCGTATACTAGGATTTTACCTTGATATTTATTATTATCTTGAAAGGAGTTCTAAAAGGAAGAAAAAATTGAAACAGTTCCAAAAGCTGCATAACAGCAGTTTACAATTAGAAAACTTGGATGAAGTTATAAAATCAGCTAGGATTGAAACCCAGTGGAGTTTAATTGGAAAACTGAAAGGTGCTGATGGAATTTTAAAATATAGTGAACTGTTGAGAATTATGTTGGCCATCTTGACAGTTCCCCATAGTAATGCGGAGTATGAGAGGATTTTCAGCGTTGTTGCGAAAACAAGGACTAAATTTAGATCTAATATTAATGATGGCACATTAGAAAAATTTTTATTAGCGAAAGCAGGCCTACATGGCAATTGCTATGAACAAAATTATGAAGTTTCTTTCTTAAAGAAAGCAAAATCTGCCACTGTTTATAACATTTGTACAAAAACTGATTAAAGTGTTTTTTTTTTTTTTTTTTTTTCCTTAAACGATTGCAAGTAATAAAAATGTTTTTTTTTTTTTTTATGTGTAAGGTATTTTTTTGTTGCTTGCATTTAAGAATTAGTTACTATTTAAAGTTAATTTAATTCATTATTTAAAACTATATTTTTATTATTTAAAAAGTCTATATAACGTTGAGAAAAATCTCCTGATTTCTTAAAAAAATCTCCTGATTTTTGAGTGTGAAAGGTTGGCAAGTATGAAAATGCATTGACCGAAATGGCGATTATGTTGAAAAATAAAGCATTCTTCAATCTTTAAAGTGATGTAACAATTATTGAAAATAAACAGTTCTTTGTATATCTAAAAATATAGGATACTTTTTTTTGGGATTGCCCTTGTACATTAGTAAATAGTTATTTTCTATTTTATTTACATATTAATAAATAAATATAAGTAAGGAGAATGGATGTGATATTTGCCATTATTGATTAAACTGCTTCATTTAGTTACAATTTAGGTAAGCAGCAATAGCAGCAAGAACTCCCCAAATTGATTCCATTCTTAGGAAGTGAGCAGGAAAAGCAGCAATGCAATGGAGGAGTACATATTCGATGTCATAGTGGTTGCTAGAATTAAGAACTTTTTCAGAAGATGTAAATAACCCTAATATTTCACTAACAAAAAGACTGTGGAATGATCTTGCAGAACTGGAAACCCTTCTTTCAACGCCGTATATAGCCATAAAAAAGCTACGGTCTGAAGAATTAACAGGAGACGAGAATGTTAGAAGATGTAGATAACCCTAATGTTTCACTAACAGAAAGACTGTGGAATGATCTTGTTTAATTGGAAACTCTTTTTTTCTATACTGTATATAGCCACTAAAAAGCTACAATCTGAAGAATTAACAAGAGGCAAGACTGCAAGAATGTGATGTTTGTTTTTTTTCTGAAATGGAGGGTTTATTGCAGAAGGAATCATTTCTTCAATGAAGAAAAGAGAAACTAGTTTGCTAGACAATAAAATTGTGCTGGGTTCAGTATATGTAGATCCAAAATCCCGAATTTTGTTGGATGACAAACAAATTAAAAAGGCAAAGAAAGCCATCTATGAACTTTCATTAAGAATGAAATTATTCTCAGAACAACTGGAGTATTCAAATCAGGACAGTCAAACTGCAGATATTGAAACTGAGTCTCTATCATCATCTTCCAACTGATGAATTAGACTTTGAGAAATATTTGGATAATATTGAAAAGGCTAAGGCAAAGCAAATGAAAATAAATAACCAAGAGCCTTTAGATATAAAAAGGAAAAAGTACAAACAAGATTTATACACGGCTTTTGAAGAAATAGATAAATATGATTGCTCTTGCAAGGCACCTCTTTTAGAACTTATAAAAAATCTATCCTGAAAATTTAAAGGAAGTAGCCCTAACAGTAACAGCTCATCATCCTACTCAAGTCAGTGTGGAAAGTTCTTAGTTCTGAAGTTTATCAAATTGAATCTATGGTTCTCTAACAAAGAAAATCTTGCTGAAGTTTTACTTTTCTTAGAAATTACTAATGCCAGTTTTTCCATTTCATAATAAATGCTAATTAATATAAAAAATTTGCTATGCATAAATTTTTTTCTGTAGCATTTACCGCTTCTTTTATATTAAAAAAATAAGCTGTACCCATGTGTATACGTTTACATATATATGAAGGAGTTGGAGTCATTAATATTCCAGGAGTCAGAGTCGGTCATTTTCCCTACAGACTCAACAGCCCTGATAACACCACAAATAAATACAAATATTGTCGTAAATTTACAGCTGTGTTTATTTTTTATTTATTCATCTATTTATTTATTGTTGTTGTTATAATATATGCTTTATTTTCCCTCAAAAAATAGGTACCAAATCATCAGATTACCCTGTTGATGAGGAATTTCTGAAAATGGGAAAGAGGGAATCTTCAATGGATTGTAGTGATACTGAACCTGGAAAAGCCGGGGATTTACTTTATATCAGCATTGCTGCTGAAACTGCCTGTGATTCTTCTGCTTCCACACCTGTAAATAAAGGTAAAATATGTATGTGTTTTGTTGCATTAATTTTTCTGTTGTTAAATAGTTTCCTGTACTGTAATCTGCTATTATTATGTCTTCTTTTGTTTAGATTCTTCTATAGAAAGTGCTCAAAACAATGTGATTGAAGAAACAAAGTATATTGATGAAGATTCAAACAGAATCTCATCATCATTTGCACAAAGTGAGAAATATGTATTTATATTTATAATGTACAAAAATAATATGAATATAAAATAAATTAAAAAAAAAGGATTTTCTGGATATTTTTTAGGGGAGGAAGCAAGAAATCATAAAAATGAGCTATGCTGTTACTGGGAAATAAATGTATAGTTATTATTTGGTGGGACAAGGTGTTGGAAAAAATAATCAAATTAAAGTTCTGTTAAAGATTAAATTTTAAATTTCTCTTACATTTATGTAAGTAAAAATTCTTACATCAATTTGTGATAGCATCTTAAGTCCCATTTTTAATTTGATTATTTCTTTTTCTGCTGTAGGAACAGTAACATGCTTGTAATATGATGTACAAAAATAAAAGCAGTAATAATGTATCAACATGCAAGGAAAAAGTAAAATGCATGACAGAGCATGGAGGGTTAAAGTAAAATACAGGAAAAAAGTGGTGTATTTGCAAGGAAATTGCAGATGTGGGGATGTTGAAGTGAATATTAATATTCAAAAGCATTACACCAAAATTTTTATAAATTTCCGTTATTATTATTATTATTTTAAGGAGAAAAAAGAAGAAAAAGAGAAACAATGAGAAAATGAAAATAAAAAACAGTGGAACAATGAAACTACACATATGTCTAATCAAGAACAATGTTATGTATTATTCCATATGCAGGATGATCATAAAAAAACTTCCCTGCTATATGAACCTCTAGTGGCCTATCTGCTCAGCCAATGAAAATAAAATTTCAGATATTGTTATTTGAAAGCGTACATTTGAGATTGTGATGATTTAAAACAGTAGAGCTCTTAAAGTTACAGTGAAAAATTTTCAAATAGCAAGACCCACTTTTTTCTTGCTCTAATTGATCAGAGTATTGAAAAATCATAAATGGCATTGAAACAATATGTGTATGATGAAAATTGCTAGCACTGAACATTTGTAAAGAAGAACTTTGTAAAGGACTAGTGACAACACAGGATGTTCACTGATGCACTTTGCATAATTCACAGGGATAGGCAGTAGAAGTACCCAATCACAAACACCTTGTTGAAAATACTGCTTTTGGAAAGCCTTTAATAAGCAGTGTGGGAAGATTGTTTCTTCAATTAGGTGTTCAAACAGGCTAACAAAATGACAGTTACATGAAAACAATAACAAAGCTATTTTATCTCAATGGGGAAAATGCTGCAGAAGCAGTGAGAGTTCATCAATGAAATCATAAGCTAAGATGAGGCCCATGTTCCATAAAAACTGTATGTAATTTGGTAAAAACATTTTAACGTGCTGGATGCGCTTAATATAGATTGAGACCTGGATGGCCATGCGTTCATGTTGTTGCAGAAGTGCAAATACGATTACTGCAGGTCCATTGCATACTGCAAAAGGTGTTGCCCACAGTTTGGATCTACCGAAAACCACAGTCGTCAATTTTCTGTACTCTGTTCTGTGGATGTTTTCTTATTGATTTAAACCTATCCAGATTGGCTATCTGGAGACGAGCAACAGCATGTCAACTTTAATAATTTTTTCCTCATCTTGTAAGGATCCTAAGTTTTGATAACATTTATTTTATTTTAAAACTGTACTATCACTTCTTATTATCTACTTCCAGCCAGAATTAAATGCTTTAACTTGTTTATGTAAATTGTCTTGCTAACGCCCAAGTACTTAAGTTGTGGCTTTTTGCCAAGCGGGAGAGAGAAGGAATTTTAGGAAGCAAGCCGCTTGCCACTGCAGTTTTACGAGTTTTCACTCAGTTGCTGGTTGCCTTTAAGGCTAGAGGTTTAGCCCTCTTGATATTTGCAAACATATTGTAGTTTCAGCAGTTCGGCGTACTACATACGTACCTTTTTTAAATAAAGTCTAGTCTTAGTGCTAGGCATTTGTATATAATTCAAAGTTAGCTTTTAGTTAGAGTTTTGGTTAGTAGTTTTATATTCTTACGTTCAGACCACAAGTGGTTGGTCTCTGTATTCTGAAGTTCGGAAGTGCCTGTAAAGTATTGAAAATAAAGGGTTTCGTATACCCTTCCTGCTTGTGTCGTCTGTTATACACAAATCTTGAACATAGCTTGAGTAAGCTCCCTGTTCTTATTCAGGGCATTCCATGTTTCAAAAGCAAATCAAGAGAAACACAAGTCCTGACAATCTGATATAATGAAGATAGCAGGTGGCTGTTGCAGAAATTATGGACAGGTGAGGCTCATTTCTGTTTAACTGGGAGCATAAACTCCAAGAATTGCATTCATTAGGGTGGCAAAAGTCTTCTTGATATGGCACTAGCACCTTTACATGAAACAAAAGTTAATTGTGTGGTTCAACATTGCACACACATTCATTCTAGCTCTGTACTTCTTCAAAGAGGTTATTTCCACAGGTATGAAAGTATGCTCCATCACAAGTGCTCAATATACAACAATGTTGTAGAATTAAGTAATTCCAGAACTGCAACAGTGAGATGTTATTAATGGCATTGTATGGGTGCAAGATGGTGCTCCTCCATATGTCGCCACATGTGTTCGTCAAGTGCTGCGAGATAGAGTCATCTGCCATAACTTTGCAGTTGGTTATAAGTTTATCTGAAATCTATGGGATACACACCAAATCTAAGAGATTTGTCAAAATTGAAAGATGCCATAACAGTGAAGCTATACGGATTCCTTTTGTGTGTTATATTTGTCATTGTTGTTAACAATCTCCCACATACAGTGCGTTATCGTCATCAAAGGACTGTCTTGTATTGTCATTCGTCCTTTACGATGTTCTTCTTTGCAAATTTTATGTTGGCAATTTTGGTCATACATGTATCATTCCAATGCCGTTTATGGATTTTCAATGTGGTGGTCAGTTTGCAGAGAAAAAAATATAGGCGTTGCCATTTAAAAATTTCCATATTTTTTCACTGTAACAGTAGCTGTATGATTTTAAATCATTAGACTTTTGAGTGCATACCTTCAAATAACAATATCTGAAATTTTATTTTATTTGGCTGCATGGATAAGCCACTTGGAGTTTATATATTGAGGAAGTTTTTTTATGACTACCATGTATACCTCCTGTTAATATATATTTCCAATGTATACTTTGTTTTAACTAAGCAAATTAAAATTTTTATTTATTGCTTAACATTGTTTCTGAAATGCATCATTTCAAAGTTAATCCCTCTCATTTGACTATTATATATAAAAGATATTTCATTATTATGTTTTCTGTTTCTCTGTTCTGTTAGCATGCTGTACATTACTCCATTTTCTTGAAATGTATCAGAGTAAAAATATTATCACTAAAGAACAGGTACAAATTTGGTACCAGTATCTTTATTCAAGAATGTTTCATCAAGAAATAACAAGTGGTATATTAATGTATAACTACAAAAATAAAAGCAGCAGTTGTGTATAAACATGCAAATAAAAAGTAAAATGCTTGACAAAGTGGAAAGTGTTAATGCAAAATACAAGAAAATGGGATATTTAAAAGAAAATTGTAGATGTTTCAATGTTGAAGCAAATGTTAATATTTAGAAGCAATATACCAAACAATTAGACAAATTTCCTTCCTCCTCCTTTTTTTTTTTTTTTTTCTTTTCAAGGAAAGAAAAGGAAAACAAGGTAAACAATGTGAAAATGAAAATACGTTAAATTTGTATGAGAGTATGGTTCTGATTTGAAATAATTGGTTTTTGATTACAATGAAAGATAAGAAACCTAGTTAAATGCAATATTTTATTGTGGTACAGGAAAACAAATTTGAAAGACTACTTACTTCATAGCTGCAAACTTCTCAGTTTTTCATCACATCTTTGGGTGGATTGCTAAATCTCCCAGTTTCTAATTTTAAGCTTAGGAAAATCTGAGCGATAAATTAAGTTTATTGAGTGAATGAAACTTAAATTGGGCAAAGTCCATTCGTCCACCCCTCATGATTTTCAGAATAACTTTTCTTGTTAAATTTTATTTGATCTTATTATTTTATAGTATTTTCCCCCTTATTACATTTCATTGACCTTTGATAAATAAAAGAAGCCCCCCCCCCTCTATTTTGGGGTTTTCTCAGTATGAAAATGTAAAAAAACTACAAAATAAAATTACCAAAAATGCAAAAAATTTAGAATATCTAATTGAATACTAATATATGTTACATCAAAATTGTATTGCGAATCGTTCAATAGCCTGAAATGTGCATTATAAGGTGATTTAAGTCAGTTTGGAGCTCCTTTGAAATTGTATTGCCGCACAATATAAAAATCTCTGTGGTTTCAAATATGTTATATATTTTCTGGTATACTAGTGACAGTAAGTGAATGCAGGCTTACACTGAAATTGCTGAGCTAGATTTGAACGTTAAATTAACGTATATAATAATCATCTATAAGATTTATTTAGTATTTAAACAGCATAATTGTACTATATAGATTTTTTTTTAAATTTCTAATGGACAAACTACAACAACAAGTTACTACAACAACTACAAGACAACTGTAGAGACAGAACAAGTAAAGATGAAAGAAAAGAGCAAAACTGTTTAAAAAAAAAAAAAAAATCTACAGTATAATCTATAAATCTCTTTTGTGTCTTGCCTCTTAATATCACTCCCAGAGTGATCCAACATTAAGTGCAGGGCAACAATGATTGGAATGTGAGGCATCCATTTCCTCATGAAGATTGCACAATTTACAAATTGGGGTTAGGATAATGATCATTCGATGCAGATGTTTTGAAAGGCAATTATGGCCAGTAACAAGATGAAAGATTGCAACAGATTTCTTTCTGGGCAGTTAAGGAGTGTCTAAAATTCTGTTAACCTATACTTTATGACTGTTCCTTTTAGTAACATCTTTTAAAAAAGCTTCCCTAGAGTAATTTTTGATTACTCTTTTGGCAGTTTAGAAAGGGATGCGGTTGTCATTTATTTGGAGAATATTGGCCCCTTTCTTGTACTAAATAGATGTGGATAATTAAAATCCTTCCTCTCATTCTATAGTTTCATTTTTCAAAATTGCCAGTTATAAGACTCTACAAGATTTTAGAGCCAGAGTATGGAGGAATAAAAAGGGAGGGCCTATTTTTTAATATATGAAGAAAATAATGCCAGTACAAAGAGAAGATGTGGAAAGAAAAAGAAATAAATGTAAGAGAAATAATTTGAGGTAAAATAACTCTTGTAAAAGCACAGTAAAATATTTTATGTAAAAAAAAAAAAAAAAAAAAAAAAAAGGCAATGTCTACCAATGAAATTATTTTAAAAATAAATTTGTTGCTTCGTAAGAAAAAAAAAGTAAGTAACAATAACATTGTGTAAGAAACCCCTGCAGTGAATTTTCCTTGTAAATCAATATAGTGAGCTACTGTCTTCAGACTTGAATTAAAAATACTACTAGCAGTTAATAAAAAAGCTGGAATTAAACATTTGAAGTAATTAGTTTTCTTCAGCCCATTTTTCTTTATCGTGTTTCCTATTTTTGACACCAAACACATCTTTATAAATATTACTTTTAATAATCCATCCTTATCTGCTGCCAGTGTAAACTAGTTCATCCATTGCACAGAATGTAAACAAACTACTTACAAGGCACATTTAAGTTGGAACTTTGCTTCTGAAAAATCTTGGACAAGTAAAATTTTTAAACATTTAACCACATGAATTCCAAATTTATTTTAAAAGACAGTAGAATATGTATTCAAGAGGCAAAATTATCTAAAATGAAAAATTGCAGGCAACTCCCAGTCTATTTTTTACCATAAAGTGAGAGTGCTGATATGCACTTGAAAATGCTAAATAATTTAAATAATAGCAATAACGCACTTCTTCAGTTAAAGTATATTATAAATTGGATTTTTTTTTTAAAGTTTATTTGCAAATACATATAAGAAAAGTGCTTGTAAAATTAACATGTTGAATTTTCTGGAAATTAAAATTTTGTGTATGCATATCAGTGAAGAATTTTCTGAAAATTAAAATTTTGTGTATGCATATAAGTGAACATAGGTTAAGCTTATTGGAACTTTCTTTTATTATATTTTGCATTTCTTTTGTGTTCTTTGTGTATATATGTGTGTGTGTGTATTTGTTTCCAGAGTGCTGATAAATAATGTACTTTTTTTTAATATAGATAGTAAGGATGATCTCCCCTCATCACATCCTCTGTCTGAATCATTTGAAAATGTTTCTTCATCCCCTGATAAGCCAAATCATGACATCCAGCAAACTGAAAAAATGTCGTCTGTTTTACCCACTATGTGGCTTGGTTCACAGGGTGGACAGTAAGTTTTCCTTATGCTATCAGTTGCAAATTTCAGATTGAAACAAATTTAAATAACTGGATTGCTGCAAAATATTTTGAATAATATTTTTGATTTTTCTGCATATGGATATATAATATATACACTTATGAGCCAAAACAGTATGACCATCCTCACATTTTTTAATGAATTTCTCTGGATGACGTAGAAGGTAATGAATCATTCATGCACTTTTGTGAGTGATGGGAAAGGCTGCTGATAGAGGGCAAACTGTAATGGCCCAAAGACTCGGAAGAAGTACTTTCAAAACTGCATGACTGGTAGGTTATTCACAATCTGCCATTGTTAGTATTTATGCAAAATAGATAAATGATAGTGGAACCAGCAGTAAACGTCAAGGTATTGGATGTCCACACGTCATCAAAGAAAAAGGACATCGGAGATTGTCCCACTTGGTACAGTAAATCAGACCGAGATAGTGGTCAGGTGATAGCCCAGTACGCAGGTCCAAGTGCAAGTGTTTTGGAACGCACAGTTCAGCGGACACTGTTGGATATTGGGCTGTGCAGGAGATGTCCTTTCTTATGTGGCTCTGTTGACCAAGCGTTACTGTCAACTACTCCAACAGTGGAACCGGCAGCATCAAGACTGGACTATGGATAAGTGGAAGACAGTTGCCTAGTTGGATGTTTCATGATTTCTCATTCATTATGTTGATGGTCATGTCAGGCTATGCCATCTTCCAGGCAAACAGTTGCTCCCCTCTTGTACAGCAGGTCATAATATTTTCTGTGTATTTCTCATTCATTATGTCCATGGTTATGTCAGGCTATGCCATTTTCCAGGTGAAAAGCAGGAGGGGAGTCTGCTGTACAGCAGGTCATAATATTTTCCATGTATTTCATTCATTACATCCATGGTCGTGCCAGGCTATGCCACCTTCCAGGCAAACAGTTGCTTCTCTCTTGTACAGCAGGTCATACACAGCCTGGTGGTGGCAGTATTATACTTTGGGGAATGTTCTCATAGGTGGCCCTTTGATCCTTAGAACAGACCATGAAAGCTGCATACTATCTGAATGTAACTGCAGATGGGTTGCAACCTCACATGGCATCTGTCTTCCCAACTGGAAATGGAAACTTCCAGCAGGACAATGCCGCATATCACAAGCCTCAAATTGTATTGGAGTAGTTCAAGGAGCATAAGGATGAATTTCAGTTAATGTCCTGGCCACCTAACTCACCAGATCTTAACCCAATAGAGCTTATTTGAGATGTCATGCAGCAGCAGCTCAGAGCTCAAACACCACCATGTCGGAATATCTCGACTTTGCGTGACCGCTGCTTAGACATTTAGTACAACCTGACTCCAGTCATCTACCGAGAACTTGTGACATCTATGCCAAGGCGAATTGCAGCTTTTTTGCAGGCCAGAGGTTGTGCAAAACATTGTTGAGTAGGTGGTCACAATGTTTTATCTCTTCAGTATATACAGATGTCTCATGCATTAATGAGTGGAACCTAATGACTACTTGCTAAGTATTACTACTTCATGTGCCACTAAAATAGATCTTACCTGTTACAGCAGACTTTGACAGGTGTTTGAAAACATCTTGTTATGTTTGGTTTCGGAATATTACCAGGAGGTCTTTTAGTTATAAATTGCGTTGAAAGCTAATATACATGAGATATATTTTTCAAAGTGTTTTGTGTTTGTCATATTGATTTGAAATCTAAATAATGTGGAGACCATTATGATAAACTGAATTTTTTATTATGTTGCTGTGGCAATGAGTAATATGTTGTTGCTGCATGTGGTAAGGTATAGTGTTTTTCTAAATGTTAGGTTAATTGATTAAGACAAAGCAACTTGAGGACTATCTGCCTATGGGGGTAAATTCCTTCATTTAAGAGAAACTGGTTCTGCTAAAGAAGATGACTTTATAGGAGAGTACAATTATTAGGCTAGGATATACAGTATGCAATGGTTAAGTTATTTCAATGCAGCAGAGCCATGAGAGGTATCTGCATAAGAGGAGGGATGCCTTCATGGAGGACTTTGCAAGGAAAACAGGCTCATATTCACATTACAGATGGAGAACCAGCCAAGCAGCCAGCCCATTTGCCTGGTGGGTCTGTATGCAATGATGTTAGAAAGCTGTGGTATGGATACAAGTAGTTGAATCATATATATGTGATCAAACCTAAATGCACAAAATCCTTAAAAAGTGGTATCATCTTTTTTTAGACACACTGTGACAGTCCTTTCTCTTGATATTAAACTTTTATTAGAATTTCCATTGTAAGATACTTTAATGCCATGTAAGAAGCAGACTGTTCTAACATTCTTATAAAAAAAAAAAAAAAAAAAAAAAAATTCTACAAATAGCAGATGGTGATATGATCTGGAAAAAGTTTTGTCTGCTGGAGACTATCCATAAGACTGGCATCTAGTGACTTCATTTGGAATGTTTTAAAATAAAATAACCTTGACCCTAGTGGTGACTTCTATCTGTTAGTAGAATCTAATCATATATACCATCCTTGTTTGGATAGAAATGTCATGAATCAGTCTACTTGCATCAACAGGTAGGCCTGATTTATGACATTTTCATACAGATGAATCAGATCTTTTGCATAAATATGTGTTGCAGAGTTGATTTTGTAGTTTTTAGCTGCCTTACAAATTGTCTACTCACTGTTATAACTATAATTTGATATTCATGGTTCAATCCTTTGAGGAAAGCTTCTTTGCATTGATGGGTAAACTCAGGATAGTGTTTTCCAACAGCTGAAATGTATTTAATGGCATGCATCTTGCCATGGTCAGACAGAGAAATCCTTGCTTGATTAATGTTATAAATTCTTATTATTATCATAATTTAATACCACAGAGACATCTTCAATTTATTTTTCTGTAGGATATTATTATATAGGATTCACAGTTTTCTGGAGCATGGGTAATCATTTGATTATCACATTATTTATAGGGAAGTTTTCTCAGAAGGCTTTTTGTTGTAACTTCGTTGATGTAAATTTAATGTTTATTGAGAGTCATTTTCTGGAACTCCTGGTAGATAAAATAGTTAGTGGAAAATACTGATAATAATAATTATATTATTGATAGCAGTCCAGTCCTTTTTGTGTCCATAATTTTTGTGGTGTTTATTAATTTTGTGAGATAGAAAATGTTTTGTACATTACTCAGCCATGATCATAAAACTATATCATGAGTCTGAAACTGCAGCCATATCATCTAGCTGCCCAAATTGGTAAACTCTGCATGGAGGGATAACAGGTTGAATTTTGTCATCTGTCTTTTGTCTTCTGTAACTCTGATAATAGTTGTAGTTGTAGATATATGTTATTGCAGTTTCTGTGTAAAAATAGTTCTATTCTTTTTATTGTTTTGCCTGTTATGTAAGAAAAGAAAGTTAAATTAACATTAACTTACACACTATATTTAACTCTTTTATGCTATTCAGCATAATGGCTTGTTCATTTCTCATCCTGTATAAGCCAGGAGACAACTGTTATTTTATTATTCTGTTTTCATTTTACATGATAGAACATTATTTATTATTATCCATCAATAAAGCAATGTAGTAGTTTCTAATATTTGGAAATGATTTATTCAGTAAATGGTGCAGTATATTTTAATATCACCTTATAAGTTGCTGCTCTATCATCACTGTGTTTCTTAACTTGCTTTGATAATATAGTAACAATGTGTTTCATATGAAGAAAAATTTTTTTAGTTTTTATTTATATCAATGTAAATACAATTTTTGTTCTACAGCAGGGATGTCAAACTCATAGGTACACTTGGGCCAAACAAACAAGGTTTAACTTTAAGCGGGCCGCCAAAAAAAAAAAAAAAAAAAAAAAAAAAAAAATCAATATTCATAGAAACGTAGATTTATTTCGAATAATACAATAATAAACATATATATATATATATATTTATATAAAAAAGAACAAGAAAAATTAATGTTTACGTCCTGATACTTGACATCTCTTCTCTGCTATTATCTTTCCTATTTTGGGAGAAATTTTGTTTGCAGTGATAACTTTCAACGCTGACCCAAGGTGAGCATCATTAATACGGTTTCTAATAGGAGACTTATTACCTTTCATGACTGAAAATAACTGCTCGCACTGATAAGTGCTACCAAACATGGAAATAATTTCATATGCGAATTTTCGAGTATTTTCAAACCTGGCTGGTAAATATTTGTAAAATCCAGGCACGCCCACTTCAATGAATTTTGCTTTCAAATTTGAGTTGCATTGAATCTCGATCACCTCCATTTGCATATGGCTGGGTACTGAGTCAATACTTATTGAGAAAATCGAAGAAAACAAAAAACAAAAAAAAAAAAAAAAAAAAAAAAATGTCTTCTTCGAGGGAACTAAAATCATTAAACCTCGTTTCAAATTCAGTTGTTAAATTTGCAATTTTTTCTGCGTATTTTTGATACAAACAAGTATCATCTAAACTTGATTTGTTCATGCTGCACGTCGGGAAGTGTGTCAAATCTTCATTTTTAAGTTGTTTTTCCCAAAGAACTAGTTGACATTTGAATGCTTTAATTATGTCAAACATGTTTGTAATGATATGATCTTTTCTTTGTAACGATAAATTTAAATCAGTTAAGTGTTTGGTTATATCAACCAAGAAAGATAAATCTTATATCCATATTGGATCGTAAAACAAACTTACGTCTTGATTTTTCGTTTTTAAAAACTGACATATTTCTTCTTTCAAATCCCAGAATTGTTTGAGAATCTTGGAGCAAGATAACCAACGCACCTCGGTATAGTGGGACAAACCCGAATATTCACTATCTAACTCACTTAAGAAAGCAGTGAATTGACGCTGATTTAAACCTCGAGATCTTATAAAATTTATAACTTTTTTTATATATAACAAAACATTCTTCATATTTATTACTTTCATGCATAGAACTTCTTGATGTATAATACAATGCATATGATGAATGTTTGAACCGTGAATTTCACTAAGTTTTTTTCTTAGTAATGCTACGAAGCCCTTGTTTTTCCCAGTCATTGATGGAGCGCCATCTGTAGCTACAGAATTTAATTTTGCCAAAGGTAGATTGTATTTCTGCAGAAGTCCAAAAACACAAGTAAATATATCTTCTCCTGTGATAGTACCAGGCATCGGTATTAGTTCCAGTAATTCCTCAAAAATGTTAAAATTCTTGTCACAAGAACGACGAAACACTGCTAATTGAGCTCTGCCACTAATGTCCGTGCTCTCGTCACAGGCAATGGAGAAACTTTGGAAACTAGATGATTTTGTTTTGATCTGATCACTTAAATTTGCGGCTAAATCAGTAACTCTTTCCGCAACTGTATTTCGAGACAATGAAATTGATTGAAAAGCCTTCACATTTCCAGGACAAACAATTTCTCCAGCTTTCATTAGTCATTCCTTGATGAAATCACCGTCAGTAAAAGGCTTCGAATGTTTAGCTATCAACTCGGACAAGACTTAGCTTGCATGTACCGCCGCTTCACTTTCTTGCAATACTTTACTAAACATGGAGTGTTGCTTTTTCACTCCTAATTTGAGCTCTTTCAACTTTTCTTCTCTCATTAATCCTTCGTAATTGTTATATTTCGATTTGTGTTGTTCGTAATGACGTTTAATATTATATAACTTTGGTACATTGATAGTATTATTACATATCAAGCAGATTATTTTATCTTTTATTTCACAGAAAAAATATTGTAATTCCCATTTTACTTGGAATATTCTATGTTCGTCAGCGATTTTTCGTTTAATTTTATTACCACTTGGTTTTGATATAGACATACTGAATACAAAGGGCTGGAATAAACACGGTTAACGTTAAAAAGTTAACAAAAATTTCCACAAGAGATAAATAAAAATGCTGAAATATTTCTTCAAAAATATTCTAACAATATCACAAAATGTCAAACATTTAGCAAAAATCAATTCAAAACAGAGAAATTAATTCTATCTCACAGCGAAATCGCTACAAATCAATCACAGCATTAAGTAAACAAACAGTTCGCTCGAACTACAGCTACTACTGAGAAGAGTTGTTTGTTCTCGGCTTTTATAAGCTTTATAATTTATTTCTCAAATATACTGGAAACATCTATAAATATCTGGATTTTTGTAGATGGCAACAGCAATTACGAGATATTTATTTATTAGGTATTAAATGCACAATTTATTTATTAGGTATTAAATGCACTTTATGTATTAGGTATTAATGCTGTTCTATTTTTAACCTTCCAACGCAGCTGTCTTTTCAAAAATCGTCTGCGTTGCTAAGGCAACATGAAGCAAATCTAATTACAATTCTAAATAAAAAAAACTAAATAAATAAATAACTATGAAATCTGTAACAATATATGAATTAAGTAATAATTAATAATAAAGCAAAGAAGCATGCACATGCATGCACCAATATATCGTACAAAACTATGATTGGAAAACTGAGACCATGAGTTCGGCCACATTCGGCTGCGTACAAGATCTGAGTGCACGTGTCCCCCAAAAGCCGAAGGTAGCTGAACGCAAGCTACTCACACGCATTTGTAATTTAAGTAGTGTGTGTGTCAGTTCGTTGTGAGTAATCTAACAACACTGAATAAATTATGGTTAATTACTTAGCAGTAAACATTTCATTTTTTTCTTCGTCGATATGTTATTTTATTATTATATATTATTATTTGCCGATATATTGGCCGGGCCGCAAAAATATTTGTTGTGGGCCGCGAGTTTGACATCCTTGTTCTACAGTAACAGTTTTTTTGGGGGGTTTCATACATATACAAAACTTTTGAAATGTATTGTAGGAATTTTTAATTGATGCTAAAATCATGATTTTTAAATTTAGCATATATGTGCATTCCTCTGTGGCTCAGTGGTGGTGCTGCATTAATTCTGTGAAATTAAGAGATTCTGTACTCAGTATCGTGTAAGTATTAGTTACCAGCACACTTTTATGTAAATTATATTTGAATATTTTGTAGCATATTTTCCATGTTTGAATATTTCATGATCTAGAGTTTCCTTTACAGTTGATAAAGTGATTTGTAATGAAATAGTATTCACATATTTTAAATGTTTGACTGAACTGTTAGTATCTGTCTCTGCAAATTTTAAAATATTCTTAACTAATCAAGTGTAGTAGTAAAACTATATTACTAAGTAGCTGTTAAGCATTAAGTTGCTATTTAAAAATAAACTGCTAAGAAATGTTTGATACAGCTGTATAATACATAGTGATATCAATTCAAAAAAATAATTTACAAAATTATACATATAATACATAGCTTATACATTTAATACATAGCTAAATTTTTCTGTTTATATAGTTTATAAGTCTATTTTTATGCACTTTTAAAGTTATGTGAATATGAAACTAGGTAATGAAATACTTATAAACGTAGTTAATAAGTGGAATTATGAAAAACAGTGAGACAACTTATTGCTTTAAAGTCAGCTATCAAAAGTTGGTGGAAGGGTTAAAACCTCATCAGAACACACTATGGAAATAGATTACAATATTGAACATATCAATACAATTTGTCAAATGATGAATATTGCAGTTTTTTGCCACATATGAAGACTTTTGTTCTTTGCCATATATGAAGAGAAAAGAACAAAGCCTAAAATCTGTAGAAATCAATATTGATATTTTTAACAATAAAAAATTAATTGTGATAAACATGTATATTTAAAAATTATTTCTAATAAAGACATTTGAATTTATTGTATTTTGTTTATTGAAAAACAGAGAGAAAATAATGGCTATATTTTTGGCATTTATCACTTAACAAACTTTGAAACTATAGCCTCTTAGCCTCTACCCAATAAACTAAGAATTCAGTAGTTGCACTGGTTGCTGTGATCTTCAATTACATATGCTAGAAGTTATGTATCGTTTCACCATAAACAAGGCAGTTGTCTCTAAAACATAATTATGACTATAGATATAGTTGTCTATGATTAGAGTGTTTGTTAGGCTGGCAGATTGGTCTGTCTGCTAGTCCAGCAGTTTGTAAAACTGAATACATATCTTTGCCTTTTACCCACAATGCTAATGTAATTTTGTCATATTTTAAAATTTGAGTCATTCATTTTATTTAACAGTTTTAGAGTAGAGTTTTTTAAAATACCAACATTTTTCTTCATCGAATTTGGATTTATGTTTTATTGTATGTGGTCACCACAAAAGATCATGTTAGTTTTAGATATTTTTATTAAAAAAATATTAGAGACAACTTTTATTAAAAAAATATTAGAGTCAGCATAATTCTTTTTATTGCATAATAAACATAAAAGATCTAAATTTTCATCATACAGTTAGCAAATTTCGATATGAGCTCCATTAGATACTTTTTAAGTACCTGTGTATGCTGGATCATTTCTGGAGTGGTTGTTGCAAAAAGGCAGCAAATGATTATTTTGTAACAGATGGCTGTATTCCATAAGTTCATCAAAAATTGCTTTGAAGTGTTGCATGATATTTAAATTCTGCATGCCCAAATGCACTTTATATTACATGGTCACCAACTTCATACAAACTGATTGGTTCAAGATGATATTATCATAACTACTGAACAAAGCTTCTGTACATGTCATGATTACTTTCTTCTTCCTGTAGTCAAAACTTGGATATTTTCTAATCATTTTGATATAAAAACTAAAAAGATTGATATACAATAAAACACAGTATAGGGATTTAAAGTCAGGTCTGCCATTTTTGATGACCTTGTGCATTCTAAATAATTAAGAATACTGATCTAAAATTCTTTTAACCTATTCATATTTTGAACTTTTTAAATGGTATCAATTGTTCATTCATTTTCTTGATGCTTAATATTTATTTCTTGATCAGCATAATTTTTGAGAAAATTTTCAAATTATTTATATGTTTGCAAAAAATTGTTGCTGTCAGAATTCTGCAAGGTTTTATTTCTTCCTGTAGAACCCACCTTGTACCAAGTAATTAATGATAGCAAAAGCTCTTTTGAGATATCTGTCATCTTTTTTTTTGGGGGGGGGAACCTTTAAAATGAATTACTGTATGATTTCATTCAAGCTGAAAATACTATTAAAGCTTGCTTAGGTATTTTTGTATGCATAATTTATGCATTGTAAATTAAATTGAAAGACTCATTCATTATATGTCATGTTTGTCAAGTAAAATTCCAAAATTATATATGGTCACATACGATTTCAAACTTTTTAAGTTCAAAGTTATTTTAACTTATATAAAAATCAAAAAACAAATTGATGGGTGTTCCAAAGTCTCACCATGACTTATACAAAAGTACTAAATTTTTTTTTGTTTGTAATATTCATATTTGGAAACCCAGTTTTTTATTTTGAATTCATGATATCAGACTTAAAGCATAAAATTTAGTTTATTAAAATTAATTATCTAATGTCTCATCAAAACACTGCTATATATTAGACCATTTGTATCATAATTATTTATGTTAATGTAGATCTTATGTATGAGATATTATTATAATGTCATTATGAAAATGAGTATGAACTTTTTATATTTTCATGTAAATGCAAAAATATATTTCTTTAGATGTTTCTTATCATGAATGATTTTTATAATAAAAATTAATGTGAGCTTTATTTTCATGGTTTTATGAAATTTTTCATATTACATATTGATATTTTGTGTTTTTATATTTAATGTTTTAATGTGAATATAAAAATTGATTTCTTGTGTTAAATAAGTCGTTACTATATATTGTGTCAAAAGAAATTCTTTATTATAGACATATGAGGGGTCGCGTGTTTGCTGGATTGGCAGACGGAAGTGTTGCTATTTTCCATCGGGGTTCAGGTGCTATAACTTTTGTTTGATTTATCATTTAATATAAATTCAGTGCTTATTGTTTCATTTATTAATTTTTTTCAGAAAAATAATAAATAGTATTCTATAATGTCTGTAATATAAAAACTCTATAATACAAATCTTTATATAAATATTTTTATTTAAAGGGCTGTATTTTTGCAATCATTGGTTGTAGACATAAATTTTAAGTGTAAAAATAGTTTAATTTAAGCAAGTATTCTTGTTGTAGCTTTCTTATATTAAAAATCATTTTTGTAAAAAATACAGAATCTTAATTTATATATGATGCCCCAGTGTATTAAAAAAGTTTATACTCATTCTAACGAGTAAAAGCCAATAAGTTTGAATTCTACTTAGCAAAAATACGATGTTTGGTTTTAACGTTTGAGATTTTTAAATGTGTGAAAACTAAATTTATCGTCCCCCCTTTTTTTCAGGAGGGAGTTAAAAAATAAATAATAATAATAGAATAATTTGAGGTTCGATTCTCCCCCTCTTAATGTCATTCAGGTGATATTCATTTAACCATTCTCTGTAAATTTAGTAAAAATGTTTGTTGCTTTGAAGATATATTAAAGCCTTAAAGTATAATTTAAAGCATTTTTTAAAATTAAAAATATTAATAATATAATTAGAAATATTCTGTTGCATGTAGACATATACTGACACATAGTGCTAGGCTTAATTATGTTATATATATATATATATATTATGTAATTAAGCCGGGTCTATCCATGGATAAGGCAGTTTAGAACTTCTGCACTAATGACATGTTAAATTAGCATTGAGAAGTTTTTCGATACAACTGTATAAGCTGATTCTCTGTTGTATAATGATTTCATCATTTTTGTCATCAGTTAAATCTTTGAATTCATTGAAATTTTCTGCAGACGGAGAATGGGATCTTCTAAACTTCCATTTACTTGACTTGGGAAGACCTCTGTACTCTGTTCGCTGTATGACAATAGTTGATAAGTACGTCTGGTGTGGATACAGGAACTGTATTCATGTAGTGGATACTGAGAGTCTTGCAGTTGTGGTTAGTATTTTTTTTTAACTTTGTTTATCTTTAAAAGTTTTAGATGGAAAATTCCGTTTTGAGACAGTTTAGGTAATGGCAGTGGAAGAAAATTAAGCATTTCTTTATTGTTGTCAACTCCATATTGTAATCGTCACTAAGATTACCAATAAATTGCTGAAGTATATTACAAACTGTTTCCATACAGCCTGCAGTCTTAATCACAGTCCATATAGCCCACTTGCCATGAGACCAGTAATGAATAGGTTATGGGTTCAAGAGAAAGGTTCTAAGAAGTCCATTAGTTATCATTCTATTTCTGTATACTTTCTTTTTTTAAAAAAAGTTGACAATTTTTTATTTAAAAAAAGAGTGAGGAAGATGCTTAAGACTGCTGGCCATTTCATGATAGTTTGAGATATACTTTAATATTTTACTGATAATCATAATGCCATTTAAATAATGAGTGGCATAATAATGGGAAAGTACCAAAAATTTCATAGAGAGACCCCCCTCTCCCATATATATGTACTTTTTATTAAGGCCCATCGGCGGCTGAGTAGTAAAGTCGCTGAACACTAGTTGACTGCATGGGATTGTTCTTGTTTTTATTCATGTGTAATGTGATTCAATTTTCCTTAGAAAGTTCTCCACAAAGGCATCTCTCCTTATAGGCAGAAGCCCTTGTGTTTTCTTTGCCGTAGTTAAATAAACCAAACTTGTTTTATTAAACTTAATTTTGATGAATATTGCTTTATCCTGTAATTTTGTCAATTGTAAATTCATTTTTAAATTCTGCTGCGTAATACTAAAATTCAGTACATAATTAGAATCCAAAAGTTAATTTTTATTAGTAAATGTAATTTCTTTAAGTAATTGTTTAAATGTTTTTATTAAAATTATCCAATGCTTTAAATAGATCCTGAGTAAAAATTAATTTTCTATAAGTATCATTAATGTCAAAAAGCAAGAAGTCATTATATGATTGCGTAAATGATAATTTTTAAATTTATGAATGTGTATTTTCTAACAAATATTTTTCTTGCAAGATTAATATAATCCTGTTGTAAAAAGAATTGAATTAATGTACTTTAAAATATTATTTTCTCTTTTATTTGGGAAATTCTGCAAATTATTTCAGTAGTGGATAACTGTGTAAATATAATTTTAAAAAAATTGACTCCCCACAGTTTCTTAAGTATATGAAACATAAGTCTTGGCTCTTGAGTTTTTGTAATGTTTCCATAAAATTAATTATCAGGGTTATGGAGTTTCGTAGTTGCCAACCCACTTGCATTTTAGATGATCTCTTTAAAATATAAACCTAGAAGAAATATTTATGACTAAAAGAAAATTTGGTTGCATCCATATTGTCTGCATCCTCATTAAAAAGTTGTGAACTTTTTGGAAACTTTGGAGGGAAACATTTTTTGAATGACTTCTATTTCAACAATGCATCCAGTGCTGTGTATTTTTTACATTCTCCGTTTTCTGTACAAAACATGTACACCTTTTAATTTTTTGTATGTGGTTCTCCTCATGTACACAATGATCTGTTTTTACCATACTAATAAATAAATAAATAAGTATATCAGAGACCTTGCTCAAATTTACCGCCAAAATCCTAAAATGAAAAGCAAAAAAGAGGCACAAAATCAACATTAGTGATTTTGCTGAAGACTACGAAAGCTGCAGTATTCTACCCACCACTAATGCTAAACACTGAAATTCCTGTATGAAGGGCCATAATCTGTTGTGACACTTAAATTATGATCTAAGAAGTTGGAAGCCTTCTGGCAATTATTCCCCCTGGCATCATGGGTTATCCCATAAATATTTTCTGGTGGGATGTTATGTTACTTCATCAGTACTTTTTTATAACTTTTCAATGAGGGAGGGTTAATCAGGAAAACTAGAAAATTTTGATGACAATTCCTCAACAAAAGATGACAACAATTATCATATAGTGCAGTTTCTATTTTATATAAATGATTTTCAGCAAAATTTTTTCTGATAAATTTTATTCAGTCTGAAATGTTTTAATCCATTATAACATTTATCCAAAAAATTGTTTGCACATTGATTATTAATTGTGTTTTCATTTTGCATGATTATTAATTGTATTTTCATTTTGCATAATAGCTCTTTGGTAAATAAAAGCTGTACTTATTTTACATATGTATGGAGTCATAAGAAAATTTAAAATTGAATTAAATTAGCCAATAAACACTTTAAATAAAAATTTAGACTACTTAATTAAATCATAATGTGTTTAATATCAAAATCGTGTTATAATTAGTTTTTAATCTAAATTATGTACAATCAAACTTGCCTATTTATGGTCTTTTTGAAATTGTATTACTACATGATATAGACACCTCGAGTATTATATTTCAAGGTTTGAAGTTACATTGATGTTTATTTGAAGCATGAAATGAAAAGAAATTAAGTATTTAATTCTTTCAAAAAAACTTTTCTTTTTTATTATTTCAGGAAACGTTTGATGCACATCCTCGCAAAGAAAGTCAAGTTCGACAAATGGCCTGGATTGAGGACGGCGTATGGGTAACTATTCGTTTGGATAGCACTTTACGGCTTTATCATGCGCATACTCGCCAACATCTTCAGGATGTTGATATTGAACCTTATGTGAGCAAAATGTTAGGTAAATGAATATCAATACTGTTCATTCAGTTTCTCTGTCTACATTTTTATACTATTAGTATATACTGGATTTTTATCCTTTGCTCTCTGAATTTCAATATTTTTGTTATGTAACAAATTTGTTTTTGTAATGTAACAAATATTTCTATTTTCAAAAATTTAAGAATGTTATTTTTAAATATCTTTAATTAATTGCATTCAACTCATAATTAATCAGGAGTAATTGAACAGGTTATAGATTAAATGGGCCCTGAGCAAATGAACAAAAACAATTAGTAGTTTATTGCAGTGGTAACATGTTTATGCATGTGGTAACAGCAATGAAAGTAGATGATGTCATAACAGTTAGGAGTTGTTTCTATCTGCAGTGCGTAATTTAATTTTGCATAGTCTGCAGTATGTAAACTTAAAATGAGCCATTAATCTTTTGTTTCACATTAGCTACTATTGTGAAATACATGATTGATATAAAAGAAATTGTTCTTTTTGTTTGTGTATGAAACCACATAAAATTATTCTATAGATTAAACTGTTTGAAAATACAGGTAAATTCTTTCTGGAATTTTTCTTTTGATTATAATGTAGATTAATTAATTACCTTAGGCTAATTGTATGGATGTCCATGCTAAATTGGAAGTTGACTATATTTCAAATATATATTTCTTTATTTTGCAACTACATTTGTGTTTTAAAATGTTTTTATTAATGTTCTTTAATATAAATTTATCATTGCATATCTGACTCATTTTTTCAATTATCTGACCATTTTAAAGCATCTAGAATGATAAACACATGTTGAAAAGCAAATAAGTAATTTTATTATGGAGAAAAGTTAAACATATTTTCTTACTAAATTATTAGCTAAAATGATAGTAATTAGAAAAACTGTGTGTGATTTGAAGCAATGAATATGATTATTATTGTTCATATTTTAATTATAATGTGATAACTAGTCATAATTATTATGCTTGATTTTTTAAAGAACGGTTATTAAATTGTTTTTGATTACATATGGGTTAAAATATTTTTTAATGACTTATTAGTTCTTCTTTTACTGAAATGAAATTCTTGGAAATAAAATAAGTGTAAATGCACAATTCTTCTTCCCCCTCTTCTTTTTAATGTGTTTGTGTCTTATGTAAAACAGCTTTTATAATTTGCTTTTACTGTTTTTAACATCAAGCATTAAGAATCTGCTTTAACCCTCTAAATGGCAAGGCCGTATACATACGGCCTAGAATATTTTTTGTGATGTCTTTAAGAACGTATATATACATGCATATTAAAATATGTCAAAGAAAATTAAGGCAATATATGAAAAGAAAATAAATCCAGCTATGAAATACCAGGAGAGTTTTTACATTAAAATCAAAAAAATATAGTAGTTTTGGGAAATTTGTGCTTTGTTAGCGAAAACCCTGGCCGCTCAGAGGGTTAACTTCAGTAGAGTGAGATAACTTAAAATTGACCTTAATATGTAATGTCTAATCACAGAATTAACTAAACAGTTTGTTACTGTTTAATAGTAAATGTGATACACATATTAAAATTTAAAATCAATTTAAAATCATTATTAACCTATTTCTGGTGGTTTTTCAAACTTAAGATAATGCAAACTAAAATGATTTGGTCTTGTAGAGATTTTATAAATTGACATTACTTGCTGTCGTGAATATACTTCAGCTGATTACACAACTCTATCCTACTTTCAAAATCACAAACACATGGGTCAGATTTCTGTAATTAGCTTCTTAGAATAGATTAACAAATACTACCTTTAACTTACGATATCTACTTCATAATCACCACAGGCAAACTTACTTTGGCAAGATGTCAAAAACACGGGATAAGCTCCAGTAGTCTCACAGTTTAGATTAATCTTCAAAAACACGGGATAAGCTCCAGTAGTCTCACAGTTTAGATTAATCTCTTTTTTTTCAATTATACCACTTTCCATTCAGTTCATTGAATCCGTTGAAGTATTTTTCATAGTTGAAATGACAAAAATAATGGTAATTTAACCCCTCTGATAATTGTGCAGAATCATGTTTCTTTTGTAGTTTGAGGGGGAACTTAAATGACTACTGTATATTTAAACTATGCTTTCATTAGTTTTTGGTGGTTATTTTATTGCCAGGTTTTTATAACTAATATTTTTCCAATTTTTAATGAATTTTTAGTTTTTTATTAAACTTTACAACAGAAATTTATAAAAGCTAATAACAGTGTAATAATTTAACACCTTTTTATTGTTGTTATTATTATTGAATTGTCCCATGTGTTCCTATTTCTGAATAAAATATACATTCTATAGGAAATCCTACATTTAGGAGTTAAAAAATGAGTAGTTTTAGACATCTGTTGGTTCTTTTTATTTTGCCAGAAATTTGAGAATTGTAAATAGTGGTGTAAGTATCTTCTTTAAAACTTATTGCAAATGCAGCTCATTAAGAAAATATGAATTACCTTTGAAACTTAATAACAGATTTTAGAGAAAATCTACTGTTAAAGTTAAGTTACTTGGTGTCATAAAAAGGTCAGAAATAATTAATTGTTAACTCTGGTTATCATTTCATAATAAGAAAAAAATTAACTCTCTATTTCCTCATTTAAAACTGCCAAATTTTTAGCTGAGAAGACTTAAGCTTGTTATCTTTTAAACTTTTTTAATTATTATATCCTATAATGGAAAGATAAGTCTTTTTTTGTTGTATAATAAAAAAGATAAATCTGTCTTCTTTGTTTCTTCATCCCTCCCCACATACACACACATAAAAAAAAAAGGAGAAATTGAGTTGGCGTGAAATTTTTACTGTATTCTAAGTGAAAATAACTACTGATAAAATTTCGTGTTTTAAAACAATAAACAATATTTTTATGTCTCACACAATTCCCAAATTCATTGTTACATTTGACATTATAAATTAAGTATAGTTTTGTTATTACAGGCTTATAATATGCTGCTAAAATGGAATTAAATACAGTAGAATCCCTTTTAATTAGCAGCAATGGGACTTCGCTGATTCTAGATATCAGATTTTTTTCAGATAGCTGAATATATATTTCTAGAATTTACTTGTTCATGTCTTGGGATACCATCTATAGAAATTGAGGAGTTTCCACCGATTGTGTGTGTGTGTGTTTTATCTAATAGCCACAATTAAATCAATAATGCCAAAAGTCATACAGATTCTGTAAAATTAAAGCACTTACATGTGATTTCAATTTTCAGAAAATTAAGCCAAATTTGAAAATTACCATACTTATTATCATATAAAAGTTATGAACTTATAACTTCATATGTCTGCCTGCTTACAAGATTGTTGCCAGTTTTAAATATTCACTGTATATACAATTAAGTTTCATAACTCGTAAGATGAATATTTGTTAATAATTATTATGAAAGTTTGCAATTCTTCATCAGCTTCCATTTATGTAACTTTCTTTCTCTGCATGTCATCTTCATCCTCCCCTTCCTTCTCATCCTCTTTCTCCTTTTTCAGTGCATGCTTGGATGTCTCATCAAAAGTGTGATTGCCACTTCACTAATATTACCTTCTCTAAACATATAACTAAATAAAAAATTTCGGCTATAGGCACTGAACGAGAGAATCTGAATCATCATGTGTGAACATAATCATAGGCCATAATTTATGCCAGCATTAACATAAAGTAATATTCTTTGCGTCTTTCCAAGCAAAGAGACAGAGTACATCTACTGTTTTTCATTGTAAATTGTTTCTCAAAATCATGGTTACTACCATGTCCACACATCAATGCAAGTTCATTTTTATATTATAGATAATTCCTTGGTCCATTCATTGGTCAAAGCTTGTTACACAGAGCATCAGAAACATAACATAAATATTTCCAGCACCTAAATCTTCAGGTTGTTAGCCCATTATGTGTTTTTAACTCTTAGGTCTAAATTTCAGATTTAAATTTAGACTTTCAAAAGTGCCATTATTTTGATATTGTGGGTAACTGAGTGCCTGTGTGATTTTACTGTACATTGTATATATTAAATGTTACATTTCATCTGAGTGTAATACTTAGCTGAAATATGAGGTACTAGTGCATTACCTATGTTTATATGAGGGATGCTCAAATGAAAAGGTATGAAACGTAACAACTAAACAGGTTGAAATTTGAATATACCGCTTTTGGATAATGTAGTGAGACATCTAGGGATCTGAATGTAGTGTTCAGCGTGGTTGTGCGCATGTTCAGGTCCCTCACAGAAAGCAGGAGATAAGCAGGCAGTTGTGTGTTCTGTCCATTGATGCGGCAGTGCATATGTGGGAAGATCATGGCATTCACATTGCAGAATTCCACAATTGAGGAGAATCAAGATGTTATCAGATTTTTGACTGTGGAAGGGGTTAAACTGACGGATATTTATAGCTAGATGGTGGCCATATATGAAGGAGACTGTGTGTCCAACAAGTCATTGAGAAAGTGGAGGCCAAAAGTGTTTGAATGATGACCCGAGACAAGGTCAAGCAAACATGATAGTTGTGGCCGAGCTCATCGACAAGGTGAACGACTTGGTGAAAAGTGATAAGCATGTCACAATGTGAATGTTGGCAGTGATAGTGGGGGCCAGCATTAGAACACTGTGGACACATTGTGCACGACAGTTTGGGTTACTAGAAGATATGCATGCAGTGGGTTCCAAAGAAGCCCAACAAACTCCAAAAGGAACTGTGTGACTAGTGTAAACTAGCAAAAGAAGCTGTGTGTGGGCTACTGCAAAAGGAACTGTGTATATATCATAACAGGTGCACTGCAGCACCTTGTTCATTATCATGAAAACCCCACTCTCCTGGAGCGGATTGGCGCTAGTGACGAGAGCTGGTGCCATCACTTTAAACTAGAGACAAAGTGGGACAGCATGCAATGGAAGCATATATCATCATCTCCTCCTAAAAAATTCAAAGCTGCACCCTCAGCAGGCAAGGTGATGCCCACTGTCTTTTTTTGAAGTCCGAAGTACTTTACTCATCAAATTCCTCTAGCACAACAAAAAATATTGACAGTGACGTGTACTGTGAGACACTCTGTAACATACACAAGTCCATCAAGAGCAAATGACCTGTGCTGCTCATGGTAGGAGTGATTCTGCTCCACGATAATGCATGTCTACACGTCTCCAAAGTCACACAAAGTATAATGGCTAAGTGGAGCAGCTTGAGTATTCGCCCAGACATGTCGCTTTGTGATTTCTGTTTGTTTGGTCCACAAAAACACATCGCAAAGGGAATCACTTTAACTCAGATGATGAACTGAAGGACATAGTGGAGGTCTGGCACCAGTCACAACCACAGGAATTCTGGGAACAGGGAATTCTTCAGCTCGTGAAACAGTGGGATAGTTGTGCTCAAGCCTGTGGTGATTACTTATAAATAAAGACATCAATTATAATAATTATTATATATTATCATATTATAGTGTCATACCTTTTCATTGCATACTCCTTATATATAATAATGAATTATGTATAAAGGTATCGATAAAATAACTAGATGGAAAATTTTCAACATTAAATGCTTTACAAGGTTTTATTTATATTATGCCCTTATCTATGTACTTAAAATAGTTGCTGCTTTTGAAGCAGAATTGTATGATTGCATATGATATATTTTGTAATATTTATTTATATATTATTATTATGGCGATATACACAAAGGTATCTACCAAGGGTAGGGATACTTTTGAAGAACATATTTTAAGGTCCAAATCTATGTTATGCATGGGGAAAATCTTGAAAAAAACTACGTTCAACCAGCCCCTTCTCTGGGATTTGAACCTGGGTTAAACTGCTAATGTTCAGCACCTTAACATGTTTGCTGCTGGTGAACATAGCATGTAATATTAAAATGGCATTGCTTTCTGTATATATATATGTTAATAGCATGTAATATTAAAATGGCATTGCTTTCTGTATATATATATGTTGCTAACATGTGATACAAATGAATATATATTTTTTCAATTATACAGAAGAAAGTTATTCAGAGGGGTTAAAATTTTTGTAGCATTTAGGGTAAAGAAATATTTGTCTAAAATTGTTTTAGAACATGTAGTACATATGAATTTCTGATTATCTAATTTTATACAGGAACTGGTAAATTAGGATTTTCCTTTGTGAGAATAACAGCTTTATTGATCTCATGCAAAAGGCTGTGGATGGGTACAGGCAATGGAGTCATTATATCTGTGCCTTTAACTGAAGGTAACTGCTTTTGTAATTTTGTTCTAAAAGTATAATTTTTCTTTTGTTGATTATATAAATTAATCTCTGTTATTAAATAATTAAAAATCTGTATATATGCATGTATGCTCCTCGTTTTATTTAAAAACAACAGCACATAGAGCCACCAAATTTTTAACACTCATAGTCCTCTACGTGAATGTGTGCAACTTGAAGTCTGATTTGTTCTGAATTTGAATTTGTTTGTTCAGAATTTGTCTGAATTTTTTTTTTTTTTTTTTTGTTGTTGTTGTTTTCTTTTCCTTTTTCTTTCCCACCCTCTTCTTCTTCTTCTTCCTTTTTAAATGCTTTGTGTAAATTTAGTGATCAACAAAACTAGCAGTTTAAATGCAGCATATTGCCACTCAGTGAAATACATAGTATTTATGTTTGAAATTCAATCAGAAAACTCAGTGATTTAAAATAAATGTATTGCCATTTGGAAAGGTAATGGTTTTTGAAATTTAATCAACAAATTGGGAGATTTAATATAAATATGATGCCAGTGTCCAAAATAAAATATTTTTATCTTCCACACATAAGCATTTTGCCCTTCAACACAGCATAAAGTATTTCATTTTTCTTTCAAATTTAATTTGTTCTATTATTGATTAACAAACTAAGTGATTTAAAAGCAATAAATGCAGTTTTTCAATTCTATTATTATTCTGTAGGCTAAAAGCATAAAGTGAAATGTATTAAAATCTTTATATTACATGGGTCTATCTAAATGTATTAAGAAGCAAAAAATATGTTTTTTAGCTGTATTAATTTTCTTGGTCATAAATGACAAAAATTTTTTATTTAAAACTAATAAAATTTTCACTTAGCATGTTTCTGGGGAAGGAATAGTATTGTTTGGGGCTTAGGGTATGCTCCAAATTGATAGCAGTGGCATAATCAACAAAATTATGCAGAGTACCCTTCCAAACTATATTACTGATTGGTTGATAACTTTTTGCCTCACATTATTATCATTCTTTATGCATTATTTTATTAATTAGATACCTGTTTATGCTTTTACTTGCTACACTATAATGAAACTGTTAGCTTTCGTTCATGTCTGGTATTTAAATTAATTAGTATACCTATTTTTGCTTAAATTTTTACTCTAATATAATTAACCTTCATTTATGTCTGGTTTTAAATTATAGACATATTTTTGTTTTTACTTATTAATGTGTAACATTAAGTTAATTAGTATAATTGTTTTTGCTTGTTATGCTATAAGCATAGATGTTGATTTATGTCTGCTATTAATTAGTGTACTTCTTTTTGCTTTTACTTGTTTCTCTGTAAAGTAGATAATAACTTTCATTTCTGCCTGATATAAAGTTTAATTGCATGCCTTCTTGATATGAACATGAAATTAAAGTATAATAACATAGATTTAATTTGCCAGAAGTTATTATCTAATATTTATTGGTACTGTTAATTTTGTCTATACAGAAAAAGTACAGTGTGCATCATCAGACTCTTCAGGTCGAGCTCCAGGAAGTGTAGTTAGAGTTTATTCTGACATTGGAGACAGCTTGCATAAATCTGGTTTTATTCCATATTGCTCTATGGCCCAGGCCCAGTTGTCATTTCATGGTCATCGAGATGCTGTAAAATTTTTTGTTGCTGTTCCTGGTTGGTATTTTCATGGTCACCCTTTGCCAATAAGAAAATGTTATTTTTGAAAAAGAATATAATCACAGTAAACTAATTATTTAATATATATAATTGGAATTTTCATAACCCTCCTCTTATTTAGAGGTTAGGCATGAATATCCAATCCCTCTTTTTAAAAAAAATATGTTCAGAAATACTATTAATTTTATTTAGAATTAAAAATGATAATAAGATATGAATATTTAAACAATTTTTTTAAAGTTAGTATTTAATATCAGTATTGAGCAAATAGGTATTATTATTAAAGAATTATTTATTAAAAAGCAGTTTTATATTTATATTCCAGAAAAATTCTTATATATTAAATATTTCAAACTATGGTATTACATTTTTGCAACTGAGAGAGTTATTTCATTATCTCACATATTTTATTTGTATTGATCTTCATAGCTTGGGACAGTCCTGCTAGAAGTATAATCTTGAAAGTTCCAAAAAAAAAAGTTATGAAAAATTTGGTTTTGTTGTATAATCATTCATTACTAGAATTTGTTTGTATATTCATGCCTATTTTTGTAAAATGAAATAAAGCTAGAGTAGCCGATTCTTGCTTTTTTGTAGTATAATTAGATGTTGAAGTTCCATCACCACTAAAAATATTATCAGGAGTCTATATCTTTATATGCCTGGTACTGTGCTAAAGATAGCAGTATCAAGTTTATTATCATTCTTCTGATTTTGTATAGGTAACTTAACGTTTGTAGCTGTATAATGTAGCTGTTACTTTTCATTTATGCCTGGTGTAAATTTTAATATATCCATGCTATGAATATAAAATTAAAATATGAAAACAAATATGCAATACAGTACAAAGTCTTTAATCCGGACATCCATAATCTGGAATGATCTATAATCCGGACCTCAAAGCTACAAACTTTCTGCGCATGCATAAACGCATAATTCTTAAAGATATTATGCACATGCATAAATGCATGCCTTTACCTTTCGCCTTCGTAATACCTTTACACATGCGCTTATGCGTTTACGCATTTCTCATGTTTCTTTACAGTACCATCCTACATTTCTTCAAATAATTCTAAACTACTGTCTTCTTTTCTTTAGCATCCAAGAATACAGTAACATTCTTCATCAGCAATAAGATTTTTTAACTTTGGATTAATTTTAAACAAGGCAATAAGCAGGTATTACTTCCCATTTGCTTAACAAGAAAAAAATATTTGAAATAAATTATACTTCTTGAATTTGGAAGAAGTTGTGCAGCAGGAGCACATAAATGTTTTTAGTCCAAAGAGGCTTTTTTTATCTTTAGCATGTAAGACTGTGTAATAGAAATTCCAAAGATATGCTCAATTAAAAATTATTTTACGATATTGCTCTTGAAGTGAATTTTATGGTTTAAGTGTGAAAAACATGATATTTAATAAATAAAGGTAACATGGACATAATTTAAAAACTGAAACCTTTCAGATTTATTTTTATTTTTATTTATTTATTTTAGATGACTGGCATATTTGCTCATGCCATTTCTGTGCAAAAGCCAAGAATATTTAGAATATTTTGTTTTTTGTTTTGCTGTTGTTGTTGTTGCTTGAGTTTGAGGGTCAGGTCACATGCAAGTTTAAAATTATTTACAAATAATTTGATCGAAAAAATCAATATTGTTTTAATCGAATTTCTCAATATTGATATACATTTGAAAATTTTGTAGAAAATCTCAAAAATATCTCTATGTTACAGGCAAATGCCATCATCCTATGTTTCACTATTAACATCACTGTCATCTACCTCATAGAAAACATCATCTTCAGTTCCATCCATAACATTGCTGATACAACATTTTTTGAATCATTGTTTCTGCCATATTTTTCAAATAGATGAAGGACTGACAGAGCACCTTAGCTAAGCTAGATGAGCACTTGTTTATACTTTTGATGATATATGGCTGGGTTTATAGGGCTGTTTAAAATTTAGTTTTTGTGGGGATCGTCAGTTTCGGCTGGATTTTTGCAGCAAAATCTTACTCCTCTGGACAGGCTTATTTTCAGAAATACTCTGTGGTATTTCTTATTTTTCTAAACTTGTACAATATTTCTTTCCTAGCCTTGTGTGATATGAAAAATAAGTTTTGAATTGAATATCCTGCATGAAGGCAGTCCTAACAGATAATCATGTTCTTTTGTAATCACTATGTACCTATTATTTAAATATCAGTTTATGATGGAAATGGGCAAGTCTGTAAGAAAAATAGTGATGGAAGGCACATGGAACATATGCATGCATTGCATTGAAAAACTCACTATAACTACATATTCCTTGTGAGTGAATTCATTTAGTCGAGAAAATTGCTTCTGTACAAAATATTTCCTGGGTCTCCTTTCTCCTTCTAATATCCTTTAATGTTGAAAGTATTTGTAATTTATACTTAAATGTTAAACTACATATTTTCTGTTAGCTATATATTCCCTACTTAACATATCTGAAATTTTATTTACATTGCCTTAAAAGGAAAAAAAATTACCTTTTCAAACACATTTTTTTTCATTTGTATCCTAGGTTTTGCTGCATCAAGTAAAATTGGCTCAGATCAGGATGGAAAAGATATGCAGTCAGAAATAAAACAAGCTGTAAGCAGAAACAAAGAAACTGGTCAAAAACCAGATTGTATGCTTATTCTTTCTGGAGGAGAAGGCTATATTGATTTTAGAATTGGTATGTTTTTTTAAATTAAAATACTGTGAAATGCCATTATTATAATTGCTAAAAATATGAAATAATTAATCTATTTTTCCCTGCTTTCTTGATTACTAATTATATATTATAATTTTTATACTTAATAAATAATATTTTATTTGAATATCTCATGGAGGATATATTTCTTTATATAAATTATGTTATAAATCATTGAATATAGTATAATGCTTTCACCAAAATAACAGTAGATGACATTGTAGGTGACTGCTCTGAAAGTGGCTACACATTAAGATATATGTAGTTGTGTATAGTGTTGTAAAGACCATTAAGCATTTTAGACCAGGAAATGTTAAAAGTTGTAAGGGCCTTTTTCAAGACTTGAATCAACATGTGGATAAAACTAGATTAGAAACATCTCCATGTAAACTGGAGCAAAAACTCACTTCTCAGTTTACTAGAGTTTGTACATTGGTTTAAGCTTCTAGACATAGAAGAACGCTACAAAGAAGTGGAAATCTTGATGCAACAGATGGAGAGTATTTTACATCATTCTCATAAAATGTTGAAATATTTTTAAAGGCATCGTCCAAACTAATTTCATCATCTGATGATCCATTTAAAAAAAAAAAAAAAAAAAGAACTAAAACTTCCAGATTTGGTCTATAAATTTTCATAGGCACTAACATGTGAGCCTTCACAGTCGCTGCTTTCACTTTTTTAATCATCCAATTTTCTGTTCCTGTTTTCCATTTTCATTTAAAACACAAATTAAAATATGTAAATTGCTATAACATAACTTAAAAGCTATATTATGTATTTTTAATAATGAAACAATGAAAGTTTATAATTTTCAATAAGACTTTACTATGCAAAATCTTTAGCAAATGTAATGCAATATATCTAAAAGAAGCAGGTGTTTCACAAGAAATTCAATAGCAAAAGGAAAAAAAGTCTGCAGACTCGTTTTTTACGATCAGATAATGCTATTTATAAACGGAATAAAATGGGATAGTCAAAAACTATAACTTTGAAATGGAGATGTCTGTACCTAGTCATGCTGTGCAGAGCGTATTGCTCAAGTCATGTACAATGAAAACTGGTAAGCAGTTAAATATAATCTTATTTTCAGAACTGAAAATTTTCTGCTAATTGATACTTTATGACTTTTGTTAGGTACTTTCTGTGCCTTTCTCATTTTCAGTCCCCCCCCCCAGTCCAAAGAGGCTTTGTTCCTGAGGGACTATTATTTTCGTTTTGCATCGAATCACTCTGCATGTCCATTACACTCTCCAAAGTGTTCCCACCAAATATTATCGCCCTGTATTATATTTGAAGAAATTAAATAATGAGAAATCTGCATAAATGCATGTATGTTTCTCGCATTGTGATACAGTACCTAGAACCATCTAATTTTAAATGACGTATTCCTACTGCGAATATGGGCATCTGAAAGTCCATATTGGGAATTTGGAATTTATTATCGATTTCCTATTTTGTAAAACTTTATCGAATTTTCGATTAACAAACTCAAGGATTTCAAAGTGAGCAATGGTAACATTGTACAGAAAATACACTTTTATCTCCAGCGTGTAAGACTGTGTAATAGAAATTCTAAAGATATGCTCAATTTAAAATTATTTTTTGATATTGCTCTTGAACTGAATTTTATGGTTTAAGTTCGAAGAACATGATATTTAACAAATAAAAGTAACAGACAAAATGTTGAAAAATGCCCCTTTGGACGTAATTTAAAATCTGAAACCTTTCTCCCTCCTTTTTTTTTTTTTTTTTTTGGAAGTGTTGGTTCAAAGAAGTGAAAGAGAGAGAGAATTAATTCATAGGGATTATGCAGTTTGACTGTTGTTAAATGAAAAAGAGTCACAATTAAAATTTTCCAGAGCGAAGGTGCCATCCATGCTGAAAGAGAAGTTCAGGAAACCACAAAATGAAATTTTATTTTACTATTTGCTGCTACTACTAATCACTGCTGGAGCACTGAAATGATACTGCAATGAAAGATTATGAAGAGAAATGCGTACAGAGCAAATACTAGTTTAAAGGATCATGTGTTCTGTGTCTTATATCTAGTTTGATTATTTACTTGTAGTATCACAAAACTCACTTTGGTAGAATTCTGTCAACTACAACTTGGAATGAAATCCTATACAACTGCTGGATGAATAATTTCCTCATTCTTATTTGTGCATATCTGTATTCATCTTCTTTTTTGTATTTATTCTGAATTTAATAAAAAAAAAAAAAGGCATTCTTTAGATTTTATGCTAAAATTTGCATATGACATTCTGTTATTGAAAAGTCCTCTTTAATGTTATTTTTGAGAATATGTTACTGTTTTGTTATGGCTGCATTGTATGTTATATGATTAAGTAAATTTAATATGCAGTTTTTAAACTATAGGAGATGGAGAGGAAGATGAGACTCTGGCTTCATTAACTCCAGATAGTGATGAAAGACGTCCAGTTGCTTTAGTGAAGGGTGATCGCAGCCACCTCATAGTGTGGCAAGTTGCTCTTGCCGACTAATAAACTGTATTAAAAAAATTATGTTTGAATTAAGGTCAGTTAAACATATAATTTTCACATAATCTGTTCAAAAACTTTTGATAAAATATTGTGTGAATAATTTATTGACAAATTGTTTTATTTAATTTTATGACGGATGTGACTATTTATTTTAGATCTTTGACATTGTTGATATTTTAAATCAAGTTGCCATAATTTTAATTGTTTAAAATATTTTATCAATAAATTTTATTTCTTGTTTGATAAAATGAATTTCTAGTCAACATTCAGACAGGAGTTAGTGCAAATGTAAAATTTCCTATCTGTATTTGTAAGTGCAAGCATTTGTAGCTCCCAAATGATAGAAATTAAAAAATTAGGTCATTCTCATTTGTAAAAGAGTTTGTGTGTAATATTTCTATATGTATATAATAAAATCATGAAGTCTTTGTTTCTTTGTTGCCAAATTTATTTACTTTTTGAATTTGATGTCTTTTTTTGATTGACACCGATTATCAAATATTTTTGTTGTTCACTTTAGGCTCAAGTACTTTGAGGGAGAAATATTCATAAGTAATATTTAAATTATCTTCCAGTCGGATTCTAGATTTTACTCAGCATTTCAGATGCTTTAAATCAGTGGTTTTAAATTCAAATTACATGTGGGCCAATTGCACAATATGAAAACAGCTGACGGGCCATATTTTTTTTTCCTTCTTTTTTTTTAGCAAAATAAAAATTTAAAAAAAAATTAACTGAGTTTTAAATTCCTCTTGCTCAGATATTTTTGCTTGCTATTTTTTATAATTAAAAAAATGTAACTAAATTTAAAATTATGTATTTATCAAACACAAACAATAAATAATAATGCAAAAGGAAGTTTGGTAACTGCAAAACCGTTTTGTTGGTTACACTTTGTAATTCAAACTTTGACAGCTAAATATTAATATTTCAGACTGATATTTATTCCAAATGATTTTAACATTTTTAATTAATCATTAAATAACTCACTCAAATAAATTAGGAAAACTTTACAAATTAGAGAAAAACTTGAGAATTATAACACCTAGTCTCCTTCTTATATTTCAAATTTTTCTTCGACACATAAATTAATATATACAGTCAAAAGTCGTTAATTCGGACACCCATAATCTGGACCTCAACGCTAAAAACTTTCTGCGCATGTGCCGCGTTGACGCATGCGCATAGGCGTTTACGCGTGCACTTAAGACCTTTACGACTGCGCATGTGTGTGTGTGCAAGTGCAGAATACGTTTTCGCGTGCACGTTTAATGTATAACGGATGGTATAAGCTAAAATTATCTAATTATCTATTTCAGTTAATGTTGATGATTGCATTGTTCCTTAATCTTCGAATTGGATCCGGCTTATTATTTTTTACAGACTGTAAGAGCAATTTTATAAAAGTAAGCTTGAACTTTCGATTATGTCAAATGGAATTTCGGATGCTGGAGCTCCCAAAGGATCTACAAAACGAAAGTATGTTTCGATGTCCATCAAACAAAAAGTGGAATTGCTGGATAAAGGCATATCCTTTGTTTATCTAACTGTTCCGAAATCTGTTTATCAATTTCACGCTGCTCTGCGCGGGGGGGGGGATACACTCATAACTGAGTGTACTTAATTTTTGACAAACATGAATAAGAGTTAATCAAATTGGTATCTTCAAATCTTTGAATAAAATTTATATGACATTTTAAATTATCTCAATTTATAAATTTTCTGGTATGTTATTCATTTTCATTTTAATGGTAATAAAAATAATGTAAACTCAGACTTAAAATAATTGCAATCTTTGTAACAACAAATACATAATTGAAATGGGTTTTGCAGGCTGCATGAAATTGCTTCAGGGGCCATTAATTTGAAATCACTACTTTAAGTTATCTTATCATTTTACAGATTATATATATATATATATAAGTGTGTATAATATATGAGAACGGGCAGTGGAATCAGGTATAATATACGAAAATCGAATGAGAAGTGGGATCGGGAACGATTAGCCATTTTGAAGCGAAGAGTGAAAAGAATCGAATGAGCAGTGGGATCGGAAGAATCGATTCAATCAAACCCTGATTCCGAGAACTAATTTCTTTCAACTGAAGTTTTGAGATTCTCTAAAATCTCCTTTCTACATAGAACTAACTATAAAAATACAATCCTTCCAGAAATTTAAATTAAGAATTAGTAAATATAAACAAATAAAGAAGTCCAACACATAAATTAGCACAAATAACTATATAATATGACTTAAATTTCACTTTATAAATTTATAAATCCAAGTATTTAATTTCAAAGTTTAAAATTTGCATTCTTTGCTACACACAGTGGCCAATGAATTAGAAACCCAAGATCAATAATTTATTGAACCATCTTTTGCATGGATAACTGATCTGATTCATTTTGGCATTGAGTCTACATGCTTCTGGAGTGCATTTACGTCCAGAGGATACCATGCATTGGCTATGCAGCTTTTTCAGATCTTGTAAATTAGATGGAAGAGAAGAGTGCTGTCGGATGCGTCTTTCCACCATGTCCCACACATTTTCCATGGGGTTGAGATCCAGCCTATGCAGTTGGCCAGGGAAGGTGTTGGAAGTCAGACATGGTCAGCGAACCAATTGTCCATGAAGTATCCATCGTCATCAGGGTAAAAATGGAACATTGCAGGGGACACTTGATCTGCCAGTATATCTAGGTATCTCATGCTGTTTGTTGGCTCATGGTTGTTTGTTTGTCTCATGGCTAGGTCCCTTGAGGGCACCACTTTCATGCCAGCAGAACATGCCCCATATCATAATACTCCCACCAGACCCTTGCCCAGTGCCAGTAAGGCAAGATGGATTCGTGGCTCCATGGGGTTTTCACCAAATTCGACGTCTTTCATCAGTGCAAAATAAGGTGTAGCATGATTCATCTGACCACATTACCTGTTTCCAGTTCTCAGATGTCTAGTGTCTTCTTTCCCGACACCACTGCAAACGAATTCTTGCATGTCGGGCAGAAATGAGTGGTTTTCTCACAGGCACACGACTGCAATACTATCGTCTACAATTCTCTGCGCATGGTTCCAGCTGAAATCTATTGGGAAGCGCCTTGGTTGATGATCTGTGTCAGCTGAAGTACAGTAGAGTCGCTGTTCTGCCATACAATTTGCTGGAGACGCCGCAGATCACGCTCCTGAGAAACTGTGCTCGAACTGCAGTTATGTTTTCTAAAGAAGGATTGTGGATTCTGATTCCAGCTTTTGGAAACCTTTGATATGGCTGCATTTGAGAACACAGTGAGATTTTCTGCCTTCGAAATCGAGGCCGTTGCTAAACAGGCACCAACGATAATCCCTTTTTTAAATGGTAAAAGATGTGTCGTTTTTTCCCCATTTTACTTCATTCATCGTGAAAAACACTTACACCTTACTTATACTAGCATTCTAACCACTTGTAATCCATGTCATAAAAAAATTTAGATGGTCGACGTAGAGAACTCTGCGAAGCTACTGGTTAGGATCTGTACCTAGGCAGTCTCGGTCACGGGGGTATAAAATTTATGAACTTGGTGGTTCTGAAGGCTCTGGGAAAGGTCACTTATTGGCCGGCCTCGGAGTCTGGCATGTCCTAGCGCGGTGAGGTGCTAGTAACCCGGGGGATTTCCCCCGGGGTCGCTGGGTAATGTCCCGCTGCGACGGGCTCACCTGAGCGACTGGTAGGAGCATTTGACGACCGGTGCTGCCTGGGGCCCGTCTCCAGGTGGTGCGCGGCTCTTCTGGAGGGTAATAGTGGAGGTTGAACCTCCATGATGTGCCCAAAGGGGGAGTCGACCTGCAGTGGGATTTACTTCTCGGAGCAGGGAAGCCAAAACGCCATACTTTATCTCTAGCACGCATTCAAATGAAGAGCTCAAAGATTTCTAATTCATTGGCCAGTGTGTGTCTCCAGGGAAGCATTTTGTCTATTTAGGATTTTTAACACTTTCTAATTTTTTTTATTTTTTTAGCGATTTTTGAAAATTTTCAAGAGATTACTGAAAATTCCGAAATAGAGTCACCGTTCTTGCGGGAAATGAAAGGTCACGTCCCACGTCGACTACATGCAAGTTTTCGATTCATCAGAATTGGAGAAATATTCAAAAAATAAATACATAAAATTAAAAAAAAATTAAATTAAATTAAACACAAAACTATTTGGATTTAATATGGGGAACGAGACTTCTCGGAGCCCCGTAGGTAATCGAAATTTTTTTACATGAAAAAGGACAGATTATCTCAAGAAATTTAATGGTGAAAACTGCGTTTCAATCCGAATCGTAGATCCCGAGAAAATCATAATCAAATTCACCGGAAAACTGGTTTTTCCGGTTCAAGTAAGCGAATAATAAACTTTTTTTTCACATGAATAAATAGAGTTTTTTAAAAGGAATAGGGCTGAAGACATTTTTTTTTCCCCTTAAAATGATAGAGCGTCTTGAGAGAAACATTTTGGCTATTTAGAATTTTTAATACTTTCCAATTTTTAAGTTTTTAGCGATTTTGAATATTTTTGAAAGATTGCTAAAAATCGCCTATAGATAGAGTCATCGTTCTTGCGGGAAATGAAAGGTCACTTCCCAGGTTGACTACACGCAAAAGGATTAGATTTTCGATCCACCAGATCCGGAGAAAAAAAAAAAAAAAAAAAAAAAAATTTGAATATAACATGAGGAGCGAGATCACACGAACCCCCATAGGAAAATGATTTTTTTTTTACATGAAACAATAAAAGTTTTCCTCAAGGAATCTAACGGCAGAAACAACGTTTCAATCGCAATCGTAGGTTCCGAGAAAATCGCAATCAAATTTAGCGGAAAACTGGTTGTTTCGGTTCAAATAAGCGGATACTAAAAAAAAATTTTGCCTGAATAGATACAGTTTTCTGAAAGGCATTTAACTGTGAAAACCGCGTTTCCTGAGAAAATTCCAAATATATACGTTCAGGGGCACCATTCGGCAGGCATGTTAAGAAGGCAGGAAAAATACCTTATATATATCCCCCCTTTTTTTAAAGGGGGACTAGTGATTAGGGTATCCTGGTGGTGGAATCATCATCTACCACCTTTTCAGTTAGAGCCCCACTGTAGAGACATCCCTTTGCAAAATTTTAAGAATTTTGCAACGAAGCTGGAATTTTAAGAATCTTCAGCTTCGAACGGCTATTTCGAAGCTGGAGATTTGAAAAATGAGCGATGCCTTCGCCGGGACTCGAACCTGGACCTCTCGAATATGCGCCGAGTGTGCTGACCATGACATCAGGAAGGTATGGTAAGAAGGCGGGAGAAATACAAAAAAATAACTAACTGTATTTAGGTTTAGGTATTATATACCTTATAGCTTTTAAAAATGAAGTATTGTACCGTAATTTCGCACGTATAGTCCGAAGACACGATTTTATATAAAAAAAATTTCAAAAATCGTCAGATAGTCCGCGGACTATACGTCCGAAATTACGTTTTTTTAATACGGCAATATTCCCATGCTTTTTAAATACATCCTTTTGTTTACGCCAATTTCTCACTGCTTTCTCGTCCACTTCAAAATAACGGGGTAAAATCCTAGTATACGATGCAGCCTTGGCGCGACTTTGAAAATTATCGCCAACACCAAAAATGATCCAAAGAACGTCTATATATATAGTATACACACATAGTATATGTATATACACACTTAATATATACTATATACTGTGTTTAACTATATATTTTCTTTGAATGACCCGTTAACTACTCATCGTATATGTCCCGTTTTCACTGCTCATCATAAAGTCGCCAAATCCCGTAAGCACCGAATACTAGGATTAAACCAAAACGGCCCGCTTCTCTATTTCCATCTTTTTCAGCTTTCTCAACTACCTTAAGTTTAAACTCAGCAGTAAAACTCCGGCGATGTTTCATCAAACGTTTATCGAAGATGAAAGACAAAATACGAAAACAAAATAGTGTGCAACGTGCTATACCTCGTGATAAATGGTAATGAAATCTGACCTTCGACCCCACTCACTCGGTGTTGCCAAACCACGCTATAGGTAAACAAATCACGGTTTTTTTCATACTCCAGGTACTTGCTACTAAGGCTTCTAAAAATCGAGTTGACGCATCAACTACTTTTCCCCCTCCTGGCAGTCAGTTGCGCTTAAAGCAGTGCGAAGGATACTGGGATACAACACTCTGGTTGCGCTAACTGAGTGCTCATACAAGACTTTGTTTGGCTCATATCTCGGCATCGCTTGATGCGCCAGCCTGGATTTTAGGGAGCTCTACTTGCTACTACTCTCATTCGTTCTGCACTATGCTCTATGGTTTACTATCGATACGATACATGGCGAATGCTTTCTTGCCAATCTCGCGCTTTTTTTATATTTGATCATCGGCATTTTCACGACAGCGTGTTTTTTTTAAATTTCAACGATTTTAAAAAAACCGTTGAACAACCAGCGTATTATCCGCACTGGTGGATAGTCCGCAGCTTCAAAAATTCGCATTTTAAACACAGTTAGTCCGCGGACTATACGCGCGAAATTACGGTATATGCATGCTTCGGCTGATTTGAAGTATAAATTGTAAAAGACGAAGAACTGCATTGCTTACTTATGAAGCTGTAATTCTGAATACTAAAAGTGGTATCTTAAAAATTTCGGGTGACCATATTTTCGAAAATATCCACTTTTGCGTGACATCTGTATGTACGGACAGAATAAAGGACTGTTTTTGCCAAAAAGGATTGTGAAATGGATTTAAAATGGATTCAGAAGAGTTTTTCTCTCGACGTATACGTAGATATCAACAATTTAAAAGTCTTTTAAGTGCGGCTAAGCCTAATTTTCTTTACCATAGCAGTTACATTTGTTTAGATTTGAAACTTAGTAGAACAGTGAATTAAGTCTTTCTGCACCCTCACTGTCTTTTTGCAGCTTGGGACCAAAAAAAAATGCTGAATGTGTGCACCGAAAAATCTGCCTTCTTTCCCGCTTGACCCAAATGCCTGTTTTTTGTGTGGAAATTGTGTTTTTAATGGTTTTAACTGTAATCGGTTTTTTATGTTTTTCTATATCTTTCAATTTTTAATGATGATTTTTTGAGTTTTTATGTATTTTTGCTTTTCCTCGAAGTAAGAACTGAATTAATTGAATGAAAACTGTACTTCCAAGGAAATTCGAGAAAATAACTTTAGATGAAATGCAGCAAAAATTTGTGTATAATTTAGTAGGTCATACAAGGAAGTCATGTAATGTCCTCATGAATTTGTTTTCCATGAGTGACTAAATTATATTAAAAAAATATTTTACCAACCAAATGGTCCATTTCCCTATCCCCTTCAAAAAGTATTTAAAAATCCGATTCCCAAAATGTTAATCTATCCTAGCATCGTTTCATATTAATATCTTATTATTGCAACAAAGAAAGCATTATATTATGCATGTGGAAGTTTAATTTGTGAACTAATGATGTTAATTACTCACATTTAACAATTATCATAAGGGGTTAACCAGCTTTTCTACTAATTCTATTATTTCTTATGATCTAAAATTGTGTATACTAAGCAAATAAATAAATGTCGAATTAAGATTAAAATTGTTATGTTCAAAGTCTTAAAATGTTTATGGTAGAAAAATCATTTTTCAGCTATAATATGTTATACAAAACCAAGCAAAATTTGAAAAAGGTCTATGCAAATATATGACATGAAGCTAAAATAGTTAGAAAATATATAATAGAAGAAAATAGCTAACAATTAGAAACAAAACTACAATTCATTTAAGATATTTTTTCATACAGAATATTTGTGCCATTTTTTAAATTAATGTAAATAATTTTAATTAATAAAAGAAGTTTCTAACGTCACATATTATGTACTATGGTACAGGATAATTATTTGTGCGGTACCTAACAATAAATTCCTATTCTGAAACATATTGTAGAAAGAGAGAAATTCTATTAAAAAAATTATAAAATAAAAACCTGAAAGCTTTCAGGTTTTATATTACGCCCTTTATTAATTAAACATCCTGTTCTTCGCACTTAAACCATAAAATTCAATTCAACAACAATATCACAAATGTTTAAAAAGAGCAAAATCTAAAATTTCCGATACACAATCTCGAGTACTGGAGTAGTCTCAATACAAACCGCGGGTTTTTTTTTTTTTTTTTTTTTTTTTTTTTTTTTCAAAAGCGTAGTTTAATTTTATACACACCTAAAGTTGGATAAACGAAAATAAATTATCTCAATTAACAAAACTGTAAACGCCAGAAAAAGCCCGCTGATAAACATAGTGAAAAACATCGTCAAGTTATTAGCTTGCAAATCTTCTTCATACATTTCGTTTGTATGTTCATTTATAGTTTTTCTGAAAATTTCATCTCGCATAAATTTTTCAAATAAACCCGCCTCTCGTATTCTGGTTATCACGGAATTCAGTTTCTGTATGCAACAGAAACCTTTCCTCACTGCTATAGCTATAAAATTATATGCAAGTTCATCCTCAGATAAGTATAATGTTTTGTCCCTCTCCGTATTGAAAGTCCAAATAAGATCGAATCTAGGAAGAATAACGGCTGAGTTCTTCTCGAAAACGGCTGTAAATTTAGGATCATTTGAAGTCCATTGATGTTTTTCGATGTACTCAGCAAGAAGCTTATGATGCTTGCTCTCGGATTGCTTGAGCTGATTCAAAGCAGCTGAACCGTGTCTGATAAAACATTTATAAGTTCCTTTTTCCACCTCTTGTGCTAATTCGAGGAAATTCCTCACTGGTAGGTTCTTTAAAGCAATAGTTAAAAAAAGACGAGATACCACAGGTATATGCTGACGACAATACAAAAGCGAATAGCAACCAGAAGATGACGATCATGCTTTCACTTAAAATATTCGTTTTCAAACCAAGGGGCTGTCTTAATATACTTCCAATCAGCTCCGTGGGAACCTTTAAAAAATATTGCTGTTTCTTTGAGATAAAACTTAATGCTGTAGCCACTAACACAAGTGAAAACAAAGCGGCTATCCATACGGTATGCTGAAATGCATATAAGTAAACTCGATTCTTATCTTTTGATCCCGCTGCATGAGTTATGAATTGAATACGATCTGCACTGTAAGATTCGCTGAAATCGACTGCTTGGAGTCTTTGTTCTGTAAAAGCCAGCCAACACAAAGCCATATCTGCCTCACTTCTTTGAACCAATCCTACGAGACCAGTCCAGTTTCCATCTTCCTTCAAACGACCCCACTCTCCATCTGGAGGCAGAATGACTTCGTAGCCGAATCCTAAAACTTCTGATAATGTTTTCAAAAACTTTGCTTCAAATCCTGAATATGAAGTATAATTACTCACATTGCCGTCTAGGTAGAAATGTGGAAGATGAATTATGGTGGCAACTGTTAAAAATTTTGGGAAGGGCATACCTGAATTAGATTCCATATCTACTTCATTGTATTACAACGCATAGTATTTTCAGGCACAGTTTTTTCCTTCCACTCTTTTCACACTTTTAGGGCTACGAAAAAACGTTCAGATCAGTAAAAGTCTTAATAACAGCTCGATATAAAATAATAACTTATGCAAATTTAATGCAAATTCAAATTGCTATAATGGAGTAATTGATAAGCAGTTCTTATTTAGATGCAAACGTGAGAAGCCAAGGATAGAATAGGAGTCGCGAAGATCTAAATCTTAAAATTAGATGAGGGTCGAATTTTCAACTCAACAGGTTTGTTTCTAGTCTTACATACCTTGCATTGCTTAGAGTAATCTGCAAATGTCATGTTGTATTTAATCAATATGAAAATATAATCTAGTTCAAAATATTTCGCTTCCATAAAAGAATTCTTATGAATATTTTAACACTGTAATGTATAGTTGTGTTGATATGCTACTGAAAGCTTTTTGAGAAAGAATAAGCAATATATTTATATATATATAGCAATTATAGTCTCTTAATGCTTCGAATTACTTTATTACAGCATTAATCAAGTAAATGGTTCCGCTGATTCGGTTTCCATACTTGCAGAATTTTAAAGTTATTCTTCATATTAGAGCCACTTATTGTAAATGAGATAAATAAAAAAAGATTTGAAAACCCTGCAAATGGAGTAAAAAGTTATTTACCGTCATATAATCTCTTGCATCAATGCACGCAGGAGAATGGGTACAGCACTTTATTCCTGGCGAAATATTTTCAACTATTTTTATTGGTTTTAAAAGCTAATATGCATGTATGTATTTTCTTAGTTAAGTATTCAAAGCCGTCATGTTTTAAATTATAAAAATTTAAACTTTTTAATGCATAAGAAATATACACCTGGTTGCCAATGCCTAAGTATTAAAAGGTTCAATACTGCATGAAATAATCAAATAGGAAATACAAAAAAGACAGGTAGTAATCTTATTAACTATAAAAGACATTCATTCCAATCCAGTTTTTCACAAAGCTTAAAAAATTCTAATATATTAGCTTTTCACATTTTGTTACTATTTTGCTTGAAAGAAAAGGGCAATAAATTGGTTTTCCACTTTGATTTCTCTATTGTTGTCGCTTATTCCATATTTGAAAATGTTTTTGCCTATGGGGGAAAGAAAGCTACGTCTAGCAGCCTTCGAAACTGCGAGTTTTATTCAAAATGAGTACCAAGTTAATTTTAATTCAAAATGAGTAAAGTTAATTTTTTTCCAAAGTTAAAATTTTACAGCTGTGTATTTATCTACCAATCAAATATGTATACTGCACAGGGGCGAAGCTAGAGTTTCTAGCGCCCGGGGACAACTGAAGAATTTGCGCACCTTTCTGTGTGTCAAGAATGGAAAACATTTCATTAAAAATTTTCGTAGCATCAATTTGGCGCCCCTTGGATGATGCGCCCGAGGACAGATGTTCCCCCTTGTCCCCCCTAGCTACGCCACTGCTAGAAAGAAAAAAATCTGATGTGTATACCACATGACTTCCTTGTACGGAATATTAAATTATACGCATTTGTTCTTGCATTTTGTTTAAACTTATTGGATTTAATTATATCTACTTCGCCGACAGCGCATAAATCACAATAGAATAAATGTATTCTTTAAAATTCACTCTGGTATTTGTTTACAATGGGGACATTCTGGCGCTAGATTCACTTAACAGTATTATATTTCGTTTATATTATATAACTCAGAATGCACAAAATTTATATCATCTAAAGAATAGAATTATTTAATCGTTGCCAAATGTTCTATTCAAGTACTATAATAAAGCTAGAATGATGTATAAAAGAAATTAAGCAAACAAAACAAAAAAGAAACAGTTTTTCGCAGACGATTGAGTATTTCTCATTCAATTAATTCAGTTCTCACTTCGCGACAAGGCAAAAATACATAAAAACTCAAAATATCTCTACTAAAAATTACTAATTAATAAAAATTAAATTACTAAAAATTAAATTATTAAAAATTAAGTAAATTATAAACACTTATTTCCTCGAAAAAATTCCAGAAAAGATTAAGCATGAATTAAATCGCAATAATAAATGAAGGCGTTTATCTTTGTTGTTGCGAAGCTACGTTTCTCTAGATTGGCAACAAAGTCAATACTCAGCTGTTTCAAATGTAAACAAGCAATGGCCGCCATCAAAATAGGCTTAGCGGCACTTAAACAACTTTAAAATTGTTGATAATTCTAAAAATATTGCATACAGATTTACTAAAGGCATAAAAACCTTAACCAGAATATAAGAACAACATAATTCAATCATTTTTAAAGCAAAAAATGTACAATTTACAAACATATAAGAGTAAAGAAACCGAGATCACTGAGCCGGGTAACAGAGTGGATATATATAAATATATTTATACACGTTTGGCGCGGCCGATTGAAACCAAAATAGAGGTGCACATCTACATGTTATAGTAGTCCTATATACAAAATTTCAACGTTCTGAGGCTACTCGTTTTGAGTTATACGAGACACGTACGTACGTACGTACGTTCGTACAGACGCCACGAAAAATTCTCCTCAGAATTTATGTTAAAGCAGTTTTTTTTTTTTTTTTTTTTTTTTTTTTTTTGTGAGGAAAAGAGTTTTTTATTCTGTCCTGACGTACAGATATCACGCAAAAACATCGTTAAATTGCATTCGAAAGCGGTCAAAGTGGATATTTTCGTTGAAATATGCTGCTTGAAGCTTTTCGCGATTACAATACTTCCTTTTTACTTCGTACAAGGAAGTAAAAATGGCACAGATTTATATCTAATGTCTAGTTCAGTTAAGGATAACAAAGACGTTATAAGTTGAACACCGCAGACTCGCGTTATCTATGTATAGTTCTAACCTTTTATCTAACAGCTAAGTGTGCAGAAACTTCGTGAACAGGTAAGCGAATAATCACTTTAGTTCATAAAACAGAAACTTAAAACTCAAGAAGAGTTAATTACCCTTTATTTCTCAAAATAAGAGCTAAGCAGATGGCTCCTTCAGAGCGTACAGCAAAGCCTCCACTCGGGAAAGTAATTAGAAGCAAAATTTAATTAATGCTTGACTAAAGAGATATAACCGAAGCTATCAAGATTTATAAGTAGTTAGCCCCTAACTATCAAATAAGCTGGCGAAGCTATCAAGGGCCTGAAATGCGGCCGAGCGTAGTAATGGCTTAGAGAGAGTGTAGCCAAAAGGCGAACGCGCGCTAGTCAGAAGCTCTGGCTCTCTAACGAAGTCAGTGGAACTTCGACTTAAATACCGCTCTTAGTCATCAGCATTAAACGCGATTCTGAAAACACATTCTGGTAGGAAATTGTAAGTTGAAATTAGGAGGGACAGAAAAATAACTTTAACTGAAGATAACTTTAAAAAACTGAAGATAAATCTTCCATCTACCATAAAAAAAAATCTTTTCTAACAGTTTCTCACAATCATGAGGGGTTCAAGAACCTTATCTCTATAATATTATGCTGTAAAAGTGTGCCATCATCAAAGATACGCATTGACGCGTATGCCTCCAACACGATGCTTCTCCACTGAAAAATATCACTTTCACCCAGTTGCCAATTTTTCTTATAATCTCCAACATAAGGGAATGTGCGAAGAATGGGTATGTGACTCCACAGTGGACCGGACACAACGAATGGTCACGGGGAGTAAAGGACCTACTCTAAAAGATGTTTACAAACAGGTTGGTGGAAATTGCTGTTTGGGCCCAGAAGTGTGATCTGATCCTAAGAGGAGTGTCTAACCGTCGTTTCTATGCGGTCATGCGTTCGACAGAGTCGGTGCGGTAAATCTGTGTGGTCTGCGATTAACATCACTATATGTGGCCATACGTTTAACAGAATCGTAGCTGGGGTTTTCAACGTCTGGGGACAAATAAAGATTTCGCCCCGTCTCTTGTTTCCAAGAACTGAAAACATTTAATTCTAAGTTTTCCTAACATCAATCTGGCGGCCCCTGGAACTGCGCCCAAGGACACATCCCCTTGCCCACTCTCCCTATGCCACTGGTATGTACAGTCTGTCTATCATAAGAAAAGCTCTCCCAGTTAGTCTGCAGCTGTCTGTTTCCGTAGAAACGAGCCTTGGCCCATTTTCTGTAGGGGTATTTTGAACATTTACTTTTCAGCTTGCCATCTTGGCGCATTTAAAGATGAATTGTCAACTCTTGGTTCACCCCTATTTGAAATATACTAGCCCTGTTGCTATAGCGACCGCCATTAGCCAGACACTGTGGCGGGAGCTGTTCTTCTCGTAGACGGACAGTAAAGCTAAGTATCAATCCTCCACAGGTGTCGTGGCTCTTAAATTGCCTATGTCATGCCTCCAGGCAATAGTGTACCTACCTGGATACCATTATTAGAGACACTTATTCTATCAATTTATGCTGAGAGTTGCCAGCCTTAAACATACCGATAGCTCCAATGTTAATTAGTTCAGCGCAAAATGCACATGATACAGAGAACATCAAATAAAACGTCGCATCGTCCTCCATTTTGAATGTTAATACAGCTTTATATACCTTTTTTCTTGTGGGAAACACTTTTGCCATATGTTATCGTTATAAAATACGAAAAGCGATTTTACAGCTTAATGTAACACACACATACACAGATATATATATATATATAATTTATTATTATAAAAGGTTTTTCATATATCATCACCAAGGAAGAAAAATTTAATTGAAGCTATGAATTATTAGAAAAAAATTTTTTTTAAGTGTTCAGATTTTTATTCTAGTAAAAATTACTTAAAAACTCTATATAAAAAATTTTTTAACCGTAAAAATTCTAAATATTAAAATTAAAATTTAAAGTACAGAAAATGTAGCTATTGTTTTTTATTGCAGATTATTAATTGATTTATCAAGGGGAACAAACCAGTCTACTATCAATTAACAATAAACAAATTAAGTGAGAGTGTTTCGTCTTTTTCAAGTAAGGAAAAAATTAGTTATTTTGCTAGAGTTAGATAATGAGCTACGAATAATATTAACTATTAGAAAGATATTAGCCTACTTAAGCCAAAAACTCTTTTGTCATAAACAAATTCTAACATAAAAATGAGCAAGGTATTCTTCTTAATTTAAGGTATTCGTTAAGAACTGAATTAACGAAATCCTTGTTTTCAAAAAAATATTCCCGACATTCTCACAGTATTGTAAAGACAATAAAACAATTAAAAACTATCGAAGGAAGACATTAGTGGGAAAATGTACAAACGAATACATTATTTTAGATTTCTTTTATAATCAAACCCAAAATCAAAAATAGAAATGAAATTTACACATTCTTTTATATTAAAACGTTAATTTCAAAATCGAAATCAAAATTAAAATGTATGTAATCTTTTATAATAATACTTTAAATTAAAAGTAGTTATTTATATACAAATTTAGAAACAATGCCAGGAAGGGAATTAAAATTAACCTACTTGCCTGCAAAATTTAAAACGAAAATTTTGGAAGTGTAAATGTTTTCAGTGAATTTAAAATTTAAAAAAAATTAATCATCCAGAAAAAAATAATTTCCTTTGCATGTATTGCAAGTTATTTACACACTCATGAATCAGTTTATTTAGAAAACCAATGTGGACACCGCATGACTTCTTTGTGCACTATTAAATTATGTACATTTTTTATGCACTTTATTTTAACATATTTCCTCTATTTATTCAAACTTAATTAACCGACCCTTAAGTTCAAAATGATATCAAAAATTGCAGATTTTGAAATTAATATCACGATCAATTTTTCTCGTACGAGTGTCAAACTGAAAGTTAACTTTTGGTCTTCTCATTGATAATTCTACAACTATTGCATGCAGATTACCTAAAGCATACAGACCTTAACTAGAACATAACAACGGTATAATTCAATGACTTTTAAAGCAAAAAATGCACAATTTACCAACATATAAGAATAAAAACAACTAAAAAAAAAAAAAAAAAAAAAAAAAAAGACGAAATTCACCGAACCGCGTAACAGACTGGGTATATATATATATATATTTATAAACGTTTGGTGAGGCCAGTTTCAAGGAAAAAAGGATGTGCAAAACTAGATATTACTGCTCTCTCATATGCCAAATTTCAACGTTCTACGGCTACTCGATTTTGAGTTATGAGGGATACATACAAACGTACGTACAGACGACGCGAAAAAAAATCTCTTCTGAATTGAATGAAAACTAATTATAACAATAATTGCAACAGCAAATACCGAGTAAAAAATTACTGCTGAAGACAGAATCTCTGGGTATTATGCCTTAATACCTGTCATATTTATTACAAATATATTTGAATAAGTAGTAACATTGAATTTCAATTAATAAAACTAAAAATGCCAGAGAATGTCCTCCAACAAGCATTAGAACGAGCACTGTTGAACTTTCTGCAGTATTTATTTTTAACTTCGCTTGATAAGAGTTTTTATTTTGTAAAGTTCTTTTGAATATTTCATCATTCACAAATTTATCATATAAACCCGAGCTTCGAAGTTTAATTAACACGGAATTAAGTTTTTGTATGCAACAAAAACCTTTCTTTACTGCTATAGCAACATAAACCAATGATAGAGCATCATCAGATAAATACAACGTTCTGTCAATCTCTTCGGTGTACCTCCAAGTTAACTCAGATTTTGGAAGAATAAGAGCAGAACTTCTGTCAATAACGGCCGTTACTTGAGAGTTTTCTTTTAAAACCCAGTGATTTTTTTCAATATATTCGCCAAGAAGTTTCAGATGTTCAGATTCCGCGCTTTTGAGTACGTTAAGGGTAACCTCTCCTTGCCTGATGTAGCATTTATAACTTCCTTTTTTAACTTCCTGAGCTAGTTCCAGAAAATTCCGCACTGGTTTTGTCTTCAGAGGAACTGCTAAAAATGAAGATAGGCCACTAACGTAAGCTGACGATAAAAAAAACGCGCAAAATAACCAAAGTATAATGATCAAACTTTCACCTAAAGTATTTGGTTTGATCGAAAGTGGCTGCCTCAAAAGGTTACCCGTCAGTTCCATGAAAACATTTAAAAAATTGTACTGTTTCCTTGACACAAACCGGAATGCCATTGCCATAGATAACAGCGAAAAGAAACTGCTTATCCAAACAGTGCCCTGAAAAGCGTTGATGTAAAAACTCACTTTATGTTTTACTTCTGGCATGCGAGTTACGAACTGAATACTATCCGAACTGTAATATTCGCTGAAATCTACTGCCTCAAATCTTTGATCTGTAACAGCAAACACACCTAGAGCTATATCTGCCTCACGTCTTTGAACCATTCCTATGATTCCACTCCAGTTTCCATCTTCTTTCATGCGCCCCCATTCTCTGTCTGGTGTATCAAGCAACTTATAGCGGAAATCTAAAGCGTCTGATAATGTTTTCACAAATTTTGCGTCAATTCCATGATAGGATTTGTAACTACTGCTATTGCTTTCCACTGTGAGATATGGAGCATACGCTACGGCAGCAACTTTGAGAAAGTTAGGGCAAATCATTTTTACGCTTTCTGACTGTCCATAATTGGATACTTAACTTTTCATTTGGTCCTGCAAATTTTATTCGTCGATTACTTCGCGTGTAGTTCGTCGATTGCTTGTTTCCTCACTCTTGTTGTCCTACCAAAATTTATTCAATAATGTAAAAAAAAAAAAAAAAAAAAAAAAAAAAAAAAAATCCGAAATGTTTCAGATTTTAAATTACGTCCAAAGGGGCGTTTTTTAACATTTTGTGTGTTACTTTTCTTTATTAAATATCATGTTCCTCGCACTTAAACCATAAGATCCAGTGCAACAGCAATATCGCAAAATAGTTTTAAAACGAACATATCTTTAGAATTTCCGATACAGAGACTCACGCGCTGGAGATAAAAATGTTTTTTCTGCACAACGTTGCCATTGCTCGCTTTGAAATCCTTGAGTTTGTTAATCAAAAATTCGTCAAAGTTTTAAAAAATAGGAAATCGATCATAAAACAAATTTCAAATTTCAAATTTGGTCTTCCACATGCTCATATTCGTTGGAGGATTACGTTATTCAAAATTCGATGACTCTATGTACCGTTGTTTTATCACAATACGAGAAATATACATACATTTATGCAGATTTTTCATTATTTAATTTCTTCAAATATAATGCAGGACTCTAACATTTTGTGGCAACAGTTTGAAAAGTGAACCGACATTTATGAGTCCGACGCAAAATGCCAAAACGAAACTAATAGTCCTTCGGGATTCAAATCCCTTTGGACTGAAAAAAAAAAAAAAAGTTTGTAATTCCAAGCGATGCTACACTAAACAAAAATGTGCTGACCTAATTTTAAATCAATACCTTCTACCAAACATTTGTTTAGTGAAATTTTACACAGATGGTTTCTACAGCACATTAATTAGAAATACTATTTTTTTCTGAACGCAGATGGCGTGATATCGTGTCACTGAATATAAATGATATTCTCGTGGAAGCTTATATTATTGAAAATATAACATATTACGTTTACTGTACGTTGTTGATATTTCCTACATATTAGGAAAATATTTGTTTTTTATCCAATATATGCCGTTTCCATGTAGGCACGTTTTTAATTCTTTCAACATTGCATGTCTAATAATTTTTTCGTACAAAAATAAGATCTGACACAATGGCAATTTCAAGTAATGGGAGGACAATAATAGCCTTTTAACTTCTTTGTACGAAATAAAGGAAGTATTAAAACATTTCCGGTGTTATATTTCAACGGAAATTGGCCGATCTCGAATCCATTTGAGCGATGTTTTTGAGTGACATCTGTTTGTACGGACAGAATAAAGAAATCTTTTTTCAAAAACCGATTGTAAAATCGACTTAAAATGGATTCAGAAGAGATTTTTTTTGTTGATGTCTGTACGTACATTTATATGTATGTTGCATATTTCAAAAACGAATAGCCTCAGAACGTTGAAATTTTGCATAAAGGCTAGCTATAACACACAATTGTGAACCTCTTTTTGGTTGCCATTTGCTTGCACCAAAAGTATATATATAAAAATCACATGACCTGCGCTAAAGCTGCAAAGTAATAAACCAATAATTTATAATAAGAAAACTTTTTACATACCATTTCCAAGGAACAGAAATGCAATTAAAACCATGAATATTAAGAAAAATTTTAGTCAGCATTTTAAATTAGTATTTTCTAAACCTCTATTGCTTTAAAAACATAAAAATCTGTTAAAAATCCTTCATCGCAAAAATACCAAGATCAATTTTTAAGTATTAGAAGTAGCTAGTTACTACAATAGCTATTGTCATTGATTGCAGATTAATCGACTTTCTCACGGGGAATAAACCAATCTGCCAACAATTAACAACAACTAAAATAAGTGAGAGTTTTCGTCTTTCTTCTAAGTAAGCATCAAACTATTTTAGTTCTCGATTTATGATGGTAGATTGGTTTATTCCTCTTGATAAGTCGATTAATCTGCGATCAATGACAATAGCTACTTTTTCAATACTTAAAAATTTTTACTTTAATTTCGGTATTTTTTGGATTAAGAATATATATATACTAAAGAAATGTTGATTATATTATCTACTAATATAAATTTAGGACGATAATTACTTGGTTTATTAATTTTCTTTTCCAAAGCTTGAATTTTTGTTATTCATGATTTGAATTCAAATAGTACCTTTCAAAATCTTTTTCATGATTTTAGTTCAAGTCGCTTAAAAAGCTTTTTTCATGATTTACATTCAAGTTCCTTTTAAAAACAATTTTAGGAATTAAATTTCCTACTTCTGGGTTCCCTCATTTTGTTACACTGTACCAAATTTATATTAGGAGATAATATAAATCAATATTTCTTTAGTAAATAAATTATTATTATCTTTGCAGCTATTGCGCAAGTATTAGAAAAACTTGTTTTCGATTTCATTGAATTTGAATTCATTCGATATATATATATAGATATATATATATATACCCACTCTCTTACCCGGCTCGATGAGCTCAGTTTTTTTTTTATTCTTATATGTTTGTAAATTCTGCAAATTTGCTTTAAAAGGGATGCTGTTCTTAGGCTCCGGTTAAGATTTGAATGCCTTCAGTTAATCTGCATACAATAGTTGTCGAATTATCAACAATTTAGAAGTTATTTAAGTGGTGCTAAGCATAGTGAAGCCGCCATTTGTTTACATTTCAATTCTTAGTAGAATAGTGAATTAAGTCAGTTTGTAAACCGTAAGGATAGTCAATTACAAATGAAAGAAAGTTGTGCTTTTCCGGGATTGCAACATCAGAAAAAAATATAAATAAATATTGTGCTAAAAAAAATAAGAGACAGCAAAGCGTCAAGGAACGGAAGCAAAAATGAACGCTGCTTACCGTATCTGTAATCAATCTCCTTCCATCATTTTTAATTCTTTGTAAATAGTAATAAATAATGTTGTCTCGCTAAAGGAGTTTTTTAAATTAAAAGCCCCCAAATGACTGGATTTATAAGTGCAGAAAACAGAATCCTTTCGTTAGCCGGCTAAAATTCCATAAGCGGAGTAAGTTGGCGCCAAACTATTTTGGCCTTCAAAATTTGTCGGCAATGAAGCACTAAAATGTGATTTTTAAACGTCAACAGAATAGTAACTTTTAAGTTTTGCAGTAGTGAAACGCCGTTATTTTATGTAAACAGAATAGTAAAATGAGATGATAAAATACTAGATGAGTAAAACAAAGTCTAACAGCTTTGCAAGTACAAGCATATTCCTACTATATATATGCAATTCATCATATAGTAGAATGAACAATTCTTAATTATAATTATTGAGTAAATAAATGTACACACTTATCAGATCAGAGCACTGCGAAGTTAGTTTTAAACATAAACAGAATAGCAAATTATATGTATTCAGCATCATAAAACTAACTAAAAAATATTGAAATTACTATCGTCGTGGAATACAACACACTAAACAACTTTCGTTCAAAGCTAAATATTCCACATCTTTCGATTGCCACATGCAAGAAACAAAACTTTAAAAAAAAAAAAAAAAAATTAGCTAAATAAAATTAAATGAAAACATTCCTAAATTATAAACTTCCTGTCATATGAAATCCAACATTCTCCCACCAACAACAGCTTAACCTTCTACAAATATTTATATAAAAATAATATTAAACATATATATAATAATAATATTAAACAGTAAATTTAAACTAAACTTAAAAACTTTTAAAAACAAACACAGTATTTCAAAATTAAATTTTTAAAAAATCTGGCTACACTAAATTCGCGCTCTTCCAGTTACCGAAATAAAGCTCTAGGTTTGCCACAAGAAAACATACAACCGGAAACCACAACCAAATTAAAATCGCGCCAAATAAAAACCTATCGCCAAGCTTGGCGCTCAACCCGATTATGGAATTTTAACCCGTTAGCCCTACTAAGCGAAGAAAAAGTTCTACTTAAACCAATTTCAGTGTCTTTTTTGCCGAGAGGGACCAAAAGTAAACTTTCAGTTTTGTGCACCGAAAAATATGCTTTCTTGCCCGCTGGCCGAATATCTTGTTTTTGTACACAAACTCTAATTTTATTTGTAAAAACTGTTTTTTAAATCTGTTTTCAACTGTGTTTTATGTTTTTCTGTATTTTATAATTTTTAATGAATATGTTCTGAGATTTTATGTGTTTTTGTCTTGCCGCGGAGTGAGAACGGAATGAATTGGAATAAGAAATACATCTGTAATGAATTGCGAAGAAATAAGTTTAAATGAAATGCAGCAAAATTTACGTATAATTTAACAGGCCATAGAAAGGAGGTCATGTGGGTGACTGTCTTTACTGTTCCTTCTCTCTTTCCGTTCTTTCGAACGCATGCAAATGAGTTGTCATGTATTTAAGTGAGGGTTTAAGATTGTTCAGATAGAGCGTATTCTGCTTTTAAAGGCCACGTTACTATTGTAATATCAGGTCAATATTAGAGAACTTCCTGTTTATCTTGGAAACGGACCGCAATGTCCACCGCGAGGGCTGGTGAAAGTGATCAAGGAAGACTCATTGGACAACCCCTTGCGGTATATCCGTTACTGATCTCGTAAGAGAAACGAAAACGTGGCTTTTGTCTAAGAAATGCGAGCGAATAACACGCATCACGCGTCAGGAAAGCTGATGTCTTTCTCCTGTATTAATGTTGTGGTACTACTTTTTAATTAACCAAGAAAGCTTATGTTAAATTTTTAAATAAATATAAAAAAAGGCAACTGGTCTCAGTTTTTCCATCAGTGAAGTTCGTCGACGTTACACAATGTTTACTATTCTAAGATAAGAGATTTGTCTTCGATCTTGCATTATACTTGCCTATAGTTAAATTTACGGTGGCTTTGCAAATGCGGTCAAGAGCAAGAGACTGACGTTAAATACCGAAGGGCAAAATAAACGGCTGTGTAAGGGATCATAAGGGGAGATATATTTTAAAAGAAAAGTGTTTTTAGGTCTCATTCATTTCCGCTATATCAGGAATATCTATCGCACGCGGGAAGATATATTTTTTTTTTTTTTTCGTACGGTGTTGCCATTATTCGCTTTGAAATCGCTCAAATTTCTTAATCAAAAACTCACAAATTCTTTACAAAATATGAAAT